TTTAGTTCATCTTTTCTCTTTCTCCCTTTCTCTCTCTCTCTCTCTCTCTCCCTCTCTAAAAAAAAATGCTAAAATATCAGTAAAAAGAAAAAAGAAAAAAAAATCTATTGGAAATTAATTTCCGTGAGAAATTGAATTTGTTGGAAAAAAAAAAGAAGATAGAAAACAGAGAAAAAATTGAAAAGTAAAAAAGTTTATTATTATTATGAAAAAAAAAAAAAAAAAAATGAAGATACTAAATTAATAAAATAATCTTTTAATAAATTCATAAACACAAAAAAAAAAAACATTCAATAAATTCTTTTTTCTCTTTTTTTTTTTTTTTTTTGAAAATTTAATTAATTTATTTCAAGTTGTTTTTGATAATTCTCTAAAATGATTGATGAAAAATTTTTTAGTAACAATTTTGAAATAAATTCAAAATTAAAAAAAAAAAAAAATAAATAAATAAACAAAATAAACTCAAAAAAAAATATATTGTTGATAAGTTGAAAAATTTTTCATCTTCTAATTTTTATTTCTCTATAAATCAGTAAATTAAACATTGTTATAATTTCTGAAGTTCTTTGAATTTGTGGATTTTAATTGAGCAAATATTGCTACGCTAATTTGAAAAGGTCAAATGTCAGCAATAATTCGAAACTTTCAGGTTTGACATTTACAAAAATTTCAAATTTCACACATTAAAGGTTAAAAGGTTTAAAATAAAGATAGGTTAAATAAACAATCAAATTACTGCTGGAAAGATAAATGGAAACTTCAAAGAGATTATTACTAATAAGTTGAAATAGTAAAATAAACCGAAAGAGAGGGAGAGAGAGAGAGAGAGAGAAAGAGACAAAGGGAAAAAAAGAAAGAATGAAAGAGAAAATTTTGTAAAATATTCAAGATGAGTTTGATGGAAAAAATAGAATTGGCTATTGAATTTAAATTAGCACAAATAACCGGATGAAATGATAGCTATTTCTCAAACTATAAATTCGGTTATCGCTAAAAAACCGGATGAAATGATAGCTATTTCTCAAACTATAAATTCGGTTATCGCTAAGAAATCGGATGAAATGATGGCTATTTCTCAAACTATAAATTCGATTATCCGCTAAAAAACCGGATGAAATGATAGCTATTTCTCAAACTATAAATTCGGTTATCGCTAAAAAACCGGATGAAATGATAGCTATTTCTCAAACTATAAATTCGGTTATCGCTAAAAAACCGGATGAAATGATAGCTATTTCTCAAACTATAAATTCGGTTATCGCTAAGAAATCGGATGAAATGATAGCTATTTCTCAAACTATAAATTCGGTTATCGCTAAAAAACCGGATGACTAAACGAAGATATTAACAATGATGAAAATTTTCCAGTTTCTCGTCACAATTATTGCTTTTGTTCGACATGGTGATGAAAAAGGATGCTGATTTTAATACAAATCACTAACAATTTTTGAAATGATCACATAAAATTGTGTCACAATGAAGCGATTTCAAATCGGATTGTACTATTACTAATAACCGTTATTATATAGAAATTAAACGTTTATAAATTTTCAATCATTCAATAAAAATATTATGCAAAAAGAAGGAAAGAAAAAAAAAAAGAAAAAAAGAACAGAAGAATGTAAGAATAAGCTAAAATTGGAATAATTAATATATTTTAATGAATTAAGAAAAAAAAAAAAAAGGACATAGCTTATAGATGATTAATTGTCACAGATAAATTTTTACAAGAAAGATAGATGTAGCAATGAGACAAGAAAAGATTGTATGGAATTAGCACAAGGAAATTTTTGATGACTGATGATGACCTCTTGAAAATGAACAATTAATCTAAACAAAAAAGAAAAATAAATACTAATTGAGAGCACTTTGAAATAAGATGACATTTTTCAAATTAACATTTATCATCATAGAAATGTTAGATAGTAGGTATATAATGTTAAAATTGTATGTGCGCAAATAAATGTAAACGTGTAAATGACAGATAAAAATGAAAAAAAAGATAAAAGCTGTAGAAAAGATAAAGATTTTGTAAATTTTGTAAAAAAATAAATTGAAATTGTTGAAATTAAACTATTGAAATTAGCTAATATAGAAATAAATATAAAATGAATAGATATGTATATTCAATGATCATTCTTCTTCTTCTTTTTTTTTTTTTTTTTTTTTTAAAAAATAAATGGAGTTGAATTGAAATCATTAAATGCAATGATGGAATGATGAAGCGTGAATTGAATTTTAATTTGAATTAAAAAATGATGCATAGAAAGTTTAGTGAAATTTTCAATCGTTATTATTTGATATAAATATATATATATATATCCCTGTGAATGAAACTGATAAGCATTGATAAATTTTATTAAAACTTTAAAATAGTAATGATTGGAGAGAAATGAAAAGTGAAAAGTGATTAGAAGAAAGAAATGTCAAATGTCGCAATGAGATGGAAATCTTTAGTGATTCGACCGGATAATGATAAGATCAAATTGAGAGAGAGAGGGAGAGAGAGAGAGAGAGAGATAATATAATGAATTTATTGTTGATAACCTTGATAAAATTATTATGGAATGAAAAAATTATAAATTACAGATGCGTCTTTTTTTTTTTTTTTTTTTTTAGCAGATATGATTATAAAATAGGTGATAATAAGATAGATTTTTATTTAATTTTAATTTTTGAAAATGATTAAATTTTGCTTGGACTGATATTATAGGTTAAAATATAATATGTTTAAGTAAGAAATTGAAAGTAAATTCTATATATGATAAAAAAAAAATTTAGTACTAATTTTTGTCAAAAAATTTTCAATTTTTTTTTTTGAAAATCTCAATAAAATAAATTTTAATATTCTTTCCATAAAAATTTTTCAAAAAAAAATTCTTTTTCACTCAATTAAAAAAAGTATATACATATATATATGCAAATTGTAACAAAGCAAATGAAATTTGACCCAAATGTGACTCATTTTTTTTTAAAAAAAAAAAAAAAAAAATAAAAAAAACCTTGAACTTTTTTATGGCACATTGGAGGTCAGAGCATAGATGACAATCTTCAAATATTGTCATCCACTTCTGTTGATAAATGAAAATTTTGATCAAAATTTAGTAAATTAAATTTTTTTTTTGTGCATTCTTTCATGTTCAAACAAAAAAAAAAAAAAAAAAAAAACAAAATTTATGAAAAATAATTTATGACAAATTTTTTTTAAAAAAGATTAATTTATTTATGAAACATTAAAAAAAAAAGGCTCTCTAATTTAATGAGTCAAATATTCCTTTTAAATTAGTAATGAATGGATAATATGGTAGTAAAATGTTAAAAAGATTTTTAAACTAACTTATTTCGATTGATTTTTTTTTTTTTTTTCATTCTTAAAAAGTTTAAGTAAATTGATGAATTTGATAGGATAAGAATTTGTACTTTTGTATTAAATTTATCTAAAAATTACATTAATAAAATAACAAACTTAATTTATTTCTTATGAAAAAGAAATTGAGGAAAAAATTTGAAAAATTATTTTTATAAATAAATATTTCAGAATAGTATTTATTGTTATTTAAAATAGTATTTTAAATTTTATTTTTAGCATAAATGTATTTTAATCTTTAGTTGTAAGAGTTTGGCATTTTTTTATGGATTTTTTTATTCCTTAGCTAAAAGTTTTATTGTTTATTCATTTTTTTTTTTTAGATGAATTATTTGAAAACAGTTTAGATTTAAAAAAATTTCATCTGATTTTAATATCATAATTGTCATTAATTAATTAATTTAAAGTTTTATTTTTATAAGATCAAATGTTTTAAGCATTCTTTAGAAGTAATTTAATCAATAAAATACATAATATTTGGAACATTTGAATAATGAAAAAATTATATATGTTCCATAATTTAAGTATTATAACTAGAAAAAAGCTTAATAATAACTTTTATTAGCTTCACAACTTCAATTTTTTAAATTTTTGAACAAGATTTAAAAAAAAAAAACACACACACACAAGTAAATACTCTATTATTGAATTGTTTTTTTTTTTTTTAAACTAAATTTAAAACTGAAATACAACAATGATTCGATAAAAGTGGAATAAACTTTTTTAAAATATAAAAGTAAAAGTTTCATTTCTTAAAAAAAAAAAAAAAGAGATGGAATTAATGCAATATTTAAATCTAAAAGGAATTCACTTTTTTTATTCATTTTTTTTGAATTTTTTTCTGTATTATTTATATCTTCCATAAAAAAAAAAAAAAAAAAATCTTATCTAAATTGTTTTTCATACAATTCTTTTCAAAACTTTTTCAAATAATTAATTGTAAAATTTTTTTTTAAATGATTTTACTCAAATCAAATATTGCACAAATTTAATGCAATTTTAATGATTAAATACATCAGAGATAATTTATTTTCTTTTAATTTGATTCTGAATTTTTAAAATAATAGTCAAAATTTGCAAAGATTTATTGAAAATCATTCCTGCTGCAAATGCGTGTGAGAAATTTCTCATTAGATGGTGTTAACAAGATACAGTTTTCAATTCTCGATACATTTGTCTTATCTTCTCGAGCGAGATTCTACAGTCTTCTCGAAGAATGATAAGGAATGATAGCAGTCCATGTCTTCCTATCACAAGCTAGAATGGATCACTGATAATGGTTGATGTGTTCAAAACTCGAAAGTTGTTGCATTCTCTTTTTTAAGGTACAACGACTCTCTCTGGTAGATAGGTGAGCGAGTTCACCATGAAGTAAAATCTTCTATCCTGAAGAGATTACCTGTTAGTACAGGTATAACAGGTATGCTTTTTGTTTATTGGAGGATAGTAATATCAATCATGTGATAAGCTTAATGAATGCTTAAGATATGAAGTGATAACATCAGTAGAAGGTTGCAGGTGCTATAATCAATGATTGAAGAATAGGTAGCACAATGCCTCTGTAGACACATCTGTTATCGTTTATAGAGTTTATCGAATGCTCCGTGTGTCTTTGCTATTGTCAACCTCTTTGTCAATTTTGACATTCAAGGAAAACTACCCGTGGTAAAGGCTTATATAGAAATTTAGTCAACATAACGTTCAATCCAAAGAGATGTGCAGTTTCTGTATGGCACAAAGTTATGAGTTTAAAGGAACTTCTGCATGGCAGTGAGGATGACATGGCCTGCAATGAGGTGAAATGACCTGCAATGAGGTGAAATGACCTGCAATGAGGTGAAATGACCTGCAATGAGGTGAAATGAACTACAATGTTGTTGACATGACCTGCAATGTTGTTGACATGACCAGCAATGAGGTGAAATGACCTGCAATGGTGGTGATATGACCTTCAATGGTGGTGACATGACTTGCAGTGAGGATGACATGACCTGCAATGGTGGTGACATGACCAGCAATGAGGTGAAATGACCTGCAATGAGGTGAAATGACCTGCAATGAGGTGAAATGACCTGCAATGAGGTGAAATGAACTACAATGTTGTTGACATGACCTGCAATGAGGTGAAATGACCTGCAATGAGGTGAAATGACCTGCAATGAGGTGAAATGACCTGCAATGAGGTGAAATGACCTGCAATGAGGTGAAATGAACTACAATGTTGTTGACATGACCTGCAATGTTGTTGACATGACCAGCAATGAGGTGAAATGACCTGCAATGAGGTGAAATGACCTGCAATGAGGTGAAATGACCTGCAATGAGGTGAAATGAACTACAATGTTGTTGACATGACCTGCAATGTTGTTGACATGACCAGCAATGAGGTGAAATGACCTGCAATGGTGGTGATATGACCTTCAATGGTGGTGACATGACTTGCAGTGAGGGTGAAATGACCTGCAATGGTGGTGACATGACCAGCAATGAGGTGAAATGACCTGCAATGGTGGTGACATGACCAGCAATGAGGTGAAATGACCTGCAATGGTGGTGATATGACCTTCAATGGTGGTGACATGACTTGCAGTGAGGGTGACATGACCTGCAATGGTGGTGACATGACCAGCAATGAGGTGAAATGACCTGCAATGGTGGTCAAATGACCTGCAATGGTGGTGATATGACCTGCAATGATGGTGACGTGACCTGCAATAAGGATGACATGATATGCAAAAACTAGTTCTCGGATAAGGTAATGTACGGTTTTGGCTTGAACCTTCACTCATCTAATATTAAACAGACTCCCATCCAAACGATCTCGAATATAATTATAAAAATATATAAAGTCTAATACGATCATACTTGGAAGAAATTATCATACAGAACTCAGACAATGTGTCACCATAGATGACTTGACCTTGCTAGTTACGTAGAGTTCTCTAAACTTTTCTCTTTGCTATTTTATGAGAACAAATATCACATCGACGGTGTTTCTGTTAGCTCTAAAACTACATTAACATTCAGATAGAAATGCTTCTTCAATTGTTTATAAAAATTTAATTTATTTTTTATCGATAATAAAAGAGCAAAGTAAATACTTTGATAGTTTCAGTAAGTCAAACTTTTCTCTTCAGAATAATGATAAATTACATCGATGATGGAAAGATTCTGATGAAAGTTTGCCTTTTTTGACAAATAATTCATAGCAAGAAATTTACTTTCAAATATTTAATTTGTTATTTTCAATTTCAGATTGGATTTCATTAAAGCTGAAATGCTTTGACAAATTTCATCTATTCAATAGCTTTAAAAAAAAACTTTCATCCAAAATAAAAATTATATTCAGTTCAATTTTCAGCTAATTATTGATTAAATGATGTGCTGATTGTACATACTGAAAAGAGATTAAAAGATTTAGCGAGTGCATCGGTTGACAATTAAGGATTTGTCTGTGTCATTTGAACTGATCGGATCTGATCGAATCATTTCTAAATAGTTCATCTATCATTTGTTCTAGATATTTTAAATTTTCTGCCAAATTACTTCAAGCAAAATAGCTTAAACAATAATCTTTTTAATAACAATTTCTGCATTTTTAGATTGTTTTCATTGAATTAGTCATTGATTTCTATTGTTTTTCTGTTTTTTTTTTTTTTTTTTTTTTTTTGTTAATTTTTTGTTAATTTTTTTTTTTTATTAAAAATGCTATTGAAGATTGCAAGATGCTATTTATATTATTAATAAATATAGCTTGAAAGTTAGCCTAAAAAAATTGTTAACTTTAAATTTCTTTACTGAAATATATCTATGTTAGCCTCGTTTAGGTTTAACTTAAAAATGTGAAAGTTAAATTTGCATTTATTTGATTTATTTGACATTCTGTATTTAGGTATCATTCAAATATGCTTCTCTGATGCAAGTTGTGATCTATTTTCTACTAAAAAATGCAATTTATGGTTGGTTGTAAAAAAACTGCTATCCCTATGATAGAACATCAAATTAATTTTTTATTTCAATTTAACAAATTTAGAGGCAATTCAATTTTTGATCAATTCAGATCAACTCTTCATTGGAACCTTTCAATTTTGAATTTGCTTGATGCATAACCAAGCGGCTCTATTCTTTGATCTATCTTCTTTATGATGATGAATTTCAATAAATGCAACAAATTGCTATTAGAGCTGAACAATGCTTAGAATATTCATTATTCACTGTATCAAGTATGATTTGCATATTTTGATTATCAATCTGAACACTTTGATAGCTATTTACTCGTAGCACTTTTCTTCTGTTCAATAATAGCAAAAGATGTCCGTTGATCGTAATCAGCCGACCGTGATAAGTATAAGTATTGATAAGATAATTTTTGAGTTATCACTGAATCATCAAATGTTTATCTCATTAGCTAATCAAGGTTAGCTAATCACTTTTTCTAGTTTCTTTCTGGGTTTTTGTCATATTTGACGTCATTTTTCATTAGCATTAGTGCTACTTTTCATCGGTTTGTAAAATGCAAATATTATCACTTTGCAGTGACTTTTTTTTTTTTTTTTTTTAAATGTAACACATTCATCTTTTATATCTGAAATTTATTTATTAAATTTGACACAGTTAAACGATAATAATAAAAATACTCAAATCGTACATTTGTTTTTGCATATTTCTTTGCAAAATTGATAGATTCCATCTGCAGTTGCTCTGCTAGGATATTTTCTCACTTTAAAAATAATGAGCCTAGCTCTCCGATCTTTCAGTTAAGGCTTATTTAGCTTTAAAGGCACTACCGTAAGTATATGCCACCTATAGCTTGGCTTACTTACGTCAAAAGAATTGCAAGCTCCATCCTTCATAATAAGAAGTTGTACGTCACAAAGAGATACAAATTTCAAAGTATTAACTTAAATTAATTAAATGTCTTCTGACGTATGATTACTTTGTGTTAAGCCTTCAGCATAAAGTTATATAAATTAACGATTTGACTTGTAATATTATCAAAATGATATTAAATCATTCATAGGAAGTCGTATCTGATCCTAGCATATACTTAGTGACAAACTGATGACAAATTTTGAATTTACAATGAGCAAAATAACTTTTTGGGGAAATTTTAAAGGCTTAAATCGAATTGCTTCTCATCCGTAATCTCAATTACTTTCAGGGTAAATCAGTTCAATGGTTTTTATTTTGCAAATCATTTCATATCATTGATTTGGAAAAAAGAAAGAATTGATGAGAAAGAAATTAACAGGTACATTCAGGTATATTATTTTGAATATTTTTCTATTAAAAAATAAACTAAGTGAGTGAAATTTGAAATATACAAAACTGTAATCTTAGATAGAAAATTATATGTTTATGAGAGAAAAAAAAAAAAAAAAGCGTAACTAAAGATTAGCATGTTACACTTCTTGAAATGCATTCTCGACAAAAAGATTACAAAAATTTCAAAAAAAAAAAAAATCATTTGAAGTTTTTTTTTTTAAGAAATGAGAATTTAACTTTTTTTTTTTTTTAGCAATAAAATTATCAATTCACATTAAATCGTTCATAGGAAATCATATCAATACTCAAAGAGAAATTGATGGTAACAAAATTATCTGCTGCTGTATTATCATAGCAGATAGTATCAGTGCACTTGATTGATTATTATCAAAATTATCACTTTTGTAATTTTAAGAGATATTCAAGATTGTAATCTTCAGAATATGAAATATTCATTTCATATTAATTAAATTGTTTATCATTTATTATAATACTTCAGATTTATGCGATCTATGAATGTCAATCTTCAAGTGAAAAAAAAAAAAAACAAAAAAAAAAAAAAAAAAAAAAAATTAAACTAAAATGCATATTTAAATAGCATTGAAACAGTAAATAGTACGACAATTTGTGGTCATTATATACTTAACGGTATGTGAATTCAATTTAAAAGTTTTGAAATAAATTTTTTTTTTTTGAAATTGAAATTAAAATTATTACTATTATTATTAATATATTATTAACATATTTTTTTTTTTTTTTAATATTACAATGAAAAAAATGAACTAATTAAAATAGTTCATGGCATTAAATTAATTTTTTTTTTTTTTTAATTTTGATGTTCAAATTGGTCGGTCTATTTGAAGCTGATAATATGGAATTTGTTTTGTTTTTTTTTTTTTTTTTTTTTTTTTCATGCATATAAAAGATTTATGAAGGATGCAATGAGAACAACAAATAAATAATTGTATGATTTCACTGTGTTTAATTATTATTTTTCATTCTTCTTTTATGCTATTACAATTTTAATTAAACTTATTATATTCTTATGTAAAGTTTTCATTTTTGAAATAAATTTCAAATTGTGCTCGAAATAAAAAAAAAAAAAGTTTTGCAGTTTTATTGCAGCATTTTGTTGAATAAAGTTATAACAACACTAGTAAATAAACCATTAACTTTATAATTTATGAAATCATAAGTAAATAATTTCCACTACAAATTAGTCATCGATTAATTTGCAATTGATATGTTTTACTTGAATAAACTTTTATTGTCCATAAAGTACTTTAATTCTTTTTTTTTCAGTAGCTTTAATTATCAAATTTCCATGTAGTTATTTGTCAATTAATAATATTTCTGCTAAAATTTATTAAATAACATAATTCTATTTAAAAGATTTCGAGAATTTCATTGCTTGATTGAGTTGAGTTAAATATGTTTGTTTACTTGAGTAAAATATAAACCACAAATATATGCATAAATTTTTTTTTTATGTTTTACTAGCTATAATTATGATTATGACATTTAAGTTTGGACATATCAACAGCTTTTGTCATGAAATTTTTTTTTTATTTTAGTCAAACTTATAATTTACAAATTTCTAAAATTTTCCAGTAACATTCATTAAAAGAGTAATCACTTATGTTATTAAGAAGACAAAATGATGTATGAGCAAAAAAAAATAGCAAACACTAAAGCTCAACGATGACATCATTCTAAATAGATGTCGTCAGAAAAAGGCAATAATTAATAATATGATAATAATAATAAGATGGTGATAATAACAACAGTAATAATTATAATTGATAATGATTATAATTAATAGTAATGATTTATAAAAATAATAATAATAATAATAGTAATAAAATATTAATAACAGTAATAATTAATAACAGAAACAATTTATAATAAAAATAATAAATAATTAAAATAATGATAATTAATAATAAAAACAATAAATAATAATTAATTAAAATAATAATAATTAATAATAAAAATAGTAAATAATAATTAATTAAAATAATGATAATTGATAATAAAAATAATAAACAATAATTAATTAAAATAATGATAATTAATAATAAAAATAATAAATAATAATTAATTAAAATAATGATAATTAATAATAACAATAACAATGATAGTGATAATAATAACAATTAATAACAATAATAATAATAATAATAGTTAATAACATGAATAATAATTAATAACAGTAATTCTGATTATTTTATTGATAGATTCTTAACAGAAGAAATATTTGAAATCTTTTATTAACATTCACATACACATAACGCATAAACAACGCAAATGTCTATTTCATGTTAATTTCCGGATAGAGATTCAGGTTCAGGAATGAGATAATCTATGGAACGATTTGTTATTTCGCAGTTATCACCTTAATTGGTATTTTTTTGTTGAAAACAATTACAGTCAAAAGCTCAAATGATGAATTCCACATGACAATCAATTAATTGTCTTCAATATGCTTTGAAATGTCTTTCCGTAAAAATGAAAAAAATTTCATTTCAGATTTTAAATTTTCTTTTTTTCTTTTTTTTTTTTTTTAGAGGATAATGGATCAGCTGAAAATGCTATCACTGAAAATCAGTGATAATATCACAGTTTGGCAAACTGAACAAAACAGATATGAATATTGTACTCAATAAATTTCACATCATTCAACTCTCACTACAAATTTGTAATAAAATTTTTGAAAATTTAAAAATTTAACTTATCACATTATCTAAGGATGAACAAAATTTATCACAAATGTCATAATGACATCATCTGTTTGTCACAATCAACAAAATAATCTAATTATAATTTCTTAAATAATTGTAAAATCTAGATAATTCCAGAAGTTGCATTTATTATGGAGTTGGAGAATACTATAAAATGAAAGGAAATTTTGAAAATGAAAAACACTGCATAAAGAATAAAAATGTATATTATTTAGCTAAGAAAAAATTTTAAATTAAACTTTAACATTTTGGTATTGAAATTTAATTCTTGCAAAAAGTTTTGAAATTTTATTCCATAATTCTTTTATCAAATAATTTTAAAACATTTTTCTCGTGCACAATTGGAAATGATTATATCATTGGACAATGATTATTATTATTATTATTATTATTATTATTACTATTATTCCGCTATGATTGATTGATTGATTTGGTTGATCTTCTCTAATATGCTTAGCAGAAATTATCGATATTTCTCAGTATCAGCTCAACAATTTTTGATCTATAAGAGAAAATGAATCTTTTATATTTTACGTATTAATGCATACTATTTTAACAGTATGAATGCTTTTTTTTTTTATTTAATCATTCATTTTAATCATTTAGTTTTAATTATTCATTAAAATGATATGAAATTTAACATTAAAAAAAGAAAGAAAAAAATATATTTTAATAATAATATGAATTGTTAAATTAGTCAAATTTATTTGCCATAATTGTAATTAAAGTAATCAACAATTTTTAAATATCATAAATTACTCAAAAAAAAAAAATTATTTTAGATATTTTTACCTGTAATAATGTTGATTTATCGTTATATTAACACACCTGCTGGAGAATTCAGGTCTGAAACAACATCTGAAATGTCTTTGAATTATTTAAGAGATCAAGCAAATTTCATATATCGTGAAGAACGAGCATTTTATCGTAAGCAATTTTTTTTTTTTTGTAGGATTAAAACAAATATTTGAATATTTCAAAATAAAATAGCTTATTCTTTTTGTTTTTTTTTTTTTTTTTTTTTTGTTAGCTTTTTTATATTTGTTTAAAATGAATGCAACATGTTTAATTTTAAATTTGAAATGCTGCTAAACTTAAGTTTTACTGCATTTTCATTCATTTTGCACTGATAAAATCTTAAAAAAAAAATCAAGAAATTTGAATGAATTGAACTTAATAATTAATTGATAATTAATAAAATCGTTAATTTTAATATAAAATATTCATTTTCTTTATGATACTATAAATTATTTATTTCAGGTAATCCAATACTCATGCAACTGTATGCAGATCGTGATAGATTTTGTTTTCCTACATCATCATTTGTATATTATTTTAATAATATAATTACTTTTTCACCGGAGAGATACAATGAAACACGTATACCGTTAAATACTACTTCCCGTTATCCTATCACGTTAACAACGGAAACGTTCTGTTACACGCGACCTATATCTTCTACGATTCAATTTACAATGCAACAATCTCAAAGTATAAGTAATACTGAATATGTTGAAGCAACATCTACGCCACTTTCATCACCATCACCTTCTTTATTTTTTACTCCACCTGATATGTCTCAGGTAAGTTATCAATAATCATATCTATTCATTATTATTGGGTTTCTTTTTGTTCTTTATAGTTGTAGCAATAGTTTGTTAATGAAGAAAAATTTATAAAATTAGTTGTAAAATTATCTTCTTTAATTTTTAAATTGATATCGTTAAATTATTATTCCTAAACTGTCGTGTATTTTTTTTTTTTTTTCAAGTCATTCAAAACATTCAAGAAGGAAGGGCATTTGTCCTGCTATGTTGTAATATCAGTAAACGTTATCACTCAAATGTTCTGTTAAGATGTTCAAATGAAAATCTTAGGAATATATCTCTAGAGGAATAGAAACAATAGCATATCTTAAGTTTACATAATTTATAATAGTGGAGAAATAGTTGACAGTTGACAGCTACAATTGACAGTCTTGAATGATCTCGTTGCTATTTTTTTTTTTCTGTTAAATACTTAGAATATATATCAAAAATTTCAATTTGATCTATTATATCTTATATTCTTATTTCATATTACATCCCAAACATACTATCATTTCATAATTTATTCTAGTATTTACAGCAAGAAGTGTAAACTAAAATAGATTGTGAAAAATTGATAGTGTGACATGGACAAATCAATGAATGACATCAATATGAAGGTAAAAATAAATGGTAAATAATACTGGTTCATTAAAGCAAAGGAAGCATTAAGTGATTAAACCGAGATGTATTGCTTAGCAAATGATTACTATTAAAAAAGAAAAAAAAAAAAATAGAATAGCTAAAAATAGATAGTAATAAAAAACATATGAAAATATTAATTTTAATTTTTTAAAATGTCATTACTGTAAAGTGAGCGCAAATATATAGGCGTTAGTATTACTTGATATTTTGTAAAAAAAAAAACAAAATATTCTAAGCAAATGTTTATGCATCACAATGAAAAAAATTGAATAGCGAAGTAATGTAAGTTCAAGAATATAAATTGTTTAGCATATTTTGCATATGTATTAGCTACAGTGAAATAGATAGATAATAATCATTTTCCTAAAAGGATAATACAATTGAGAGATTATTTACATTATCTTTACAAATTAAGTCTGGTATGAAATTTAATCACGAATTTCATCATGTGTAAAAATTATGATGACAAGATGTAATGGAACGTACATTTCAAAGAACAAGTAAACTGGGAAAACAATGATATGAGTTCAGATGGTATCAAATATCATGATGAGATTAATTAACTAGACAAAGATTTGAGTAACTGGTGAAGAATGTCGCTGAATTTTCGAGTATATTTGTATATCACATTCATTCACATAATGAAGAATCAGGTATTTCAGAATATCATCATACATCAGGCATAGATTCTATGATGGATATCAAAGTTGTTCAATAGTGAATGTATGATAGCGTCAAGTTTTTTTTTTTTTTTTTTTTTGGACAAATGTTATGTTGTTAGACAGACCACTAGGATATTTCAATTTATTCAGAAGAAAACGATCAAATTTTGTTTCATTGTAGATCTTTTATGAGAAAAATTGAATACAATCATACAAAGTAATCAGTATGCTTGGTTCACAAAATAGCAATATTATGGAATTTCAGGGAAGCGATTGAAGTAATATCTGCACAAGCTCATTCTTCGATATCAACAGTAACTGAAAATTTCCCTACCTGTGATTTCTATAAACCTATATGGAGAAAAATGAACAGTAAAATAGAAGAAGCGAACTTATTTGTATGATCAGAAGTATGGAGTCAACAGTAATCAATGAAAATTCATACAGTATTGCAACTAAATTTTGCAGTTTGAAAAGAATAAATAAATTTGTGGCACAAATCTCAAAGACAAGCACTTCAAGAAAGGTCAGCTCAAAAGCTTAAAAATCTATTTACCATACATAGAAGACACACTTTAAACAATACTTCGGGACATGTGTGGTAAAGCAAAAAATCTATATTAAATGTCTGAATTGAAATACAGGACACAGAAAATTTAATTCCAAATACACAAATAACATACCGAATTTCTAAGTAAAATGGAAGTTGAAAGCAGAATTCTAGCTTTGAATTAAATGTTCCAAAAAATCTGATTACAACAACTTTCATTTCTTCTTTAGTGTACTTAAACTTTTGGTGATTCGTGTGACAATCGCTCCACGTCATTGAAACGCACTGCCGTGCCTCCTCCAGCAGTTGGGATACACTCACCCTAAAAGGAAGAACTTCATTAATAAGTTTTCATTATTATTATTATGATTTGAAAACAATGATAGAGAATACCGAAACAAAAATTCTTTTTATTATTTAGAGGAATAATTAATATACATCTGGTAACAAATCGCTGAATCAGTAGAAATGTATTGAAATCAGTACTAAACAATAAATGAACAATCTCAGCGAATAAATTTCATGTTTCAAATTCTGAACCACTTGCTTTGTACTTGTAAATCTTTGAGACATTTGTTATCATTTATTATAACTTTTTACCTTTCAAGTCGCTATATTTTCAAAGGGAGGTTAAAAAAGAACACCTTAACAACTTGTGTAGTGAGACAACCCTCTTTATCAATCTCCTGATGTGTCAGCACATAATTAGAGCATTTTTTCAGTTCTTCCGCACTCAATTTATTTCTAGTTTTAGAAAATTTCGGCATTCGTGGCTGCAAGATCGTCCCTTCCGGAATACGATTTCGAGGTTGATGATCAATCACTCTACTGTTCGCACTTTTAGATCGTCTGTGAAATCGTGCATTGTAATAACCGGTGCGAGTTTTTGCTAAAGCCTAGAAACAGACCATTTGGTTATTCGACAGATTCTAGTAAATGTTATAAATATTTTATTTCAAATTTGCTCCATCTATTAAAATCATTTTTGTAATCCCAATCAAAACTTGCATTTTGATTCGCAGTTCGTGCTTCCCACTTCTGTCTTGCAAGTGCAACACGGTGAGGTGTCGACAATTCTTCATTTTGCACGATCTTAAAAATACAACTTACATAACATTATTACTTTAAATGGTGACAATGTTCTCAATTCGATTAGCTGATTATTCATCCATAGTAATTAGCATAAATCTTTTTCCTCACAAAATTTTTAGAAAAGAATTCCTCTACATATCCAATTAACAGATTTAATTTTAGAAAATCATTACAATCTGTCGCTAAAGTAATGCAATAAGAATTGTAATAAAAAGCTAACCGTGGCATCAACGACCAAATTATCACCATCTACTGTGGCCGCATTATGAATATTTTCAATGCTTTTGAAACGCCTAGTTGATGAAACAAGCGGTCTTTCACATATTTCACGTACCTTAAATTTCAACAACATATAAAACTGAAGATCGACACAAAATTTCAATCAGCACATCATTCCACTTCCTTGTAAAATCATTTACCTGGTGAAGTGTTTTTTCCTTTTTACGAAGCTGTTCCTGATACAATTTTTCACGTCGTCTATGTTCCTCCTCTTGATTTAACTTCTCGTTCTCTTCCGATTCACAACGATCCAAACGTTGACGTAAATTCAAGTTTTCATGCTACAAGTGAACAGTTTTTTTTTTTTTTCTTTTTATGCTGAAGCATTAATTCCAAAAAAAAAAATTAAGCAAAATGAGTTACCCGCATTTGTTTCATCTTATATGTCAATGTTGATAAAAGTCGTTCCGTTTCATCCCTCTCCGCTTCAAGTTGTTGAATACGCACTTCTTGTAAATCAACAGTACACAAGGCTCGTTGCAAGTGTTGCTCCATTTCAGCCGCTGTAGCATATAAGCATTTATCTCTGATATTTTTTTAAATTAAATTGCAAAAAAAAAAAAAAAACAAATTTTCTTAAGTGAATAAAAATATGGAGTTATCTAAGCAGCATATCAATAGCACTGACAACAGTATTGTTTAATACGACTGTAAATAAATCTGTTACAATGTCATCTCAGATTAAATCTTCTGAAAGAAAGAAAAGTAAGAAACAATTGAATGCATGTAAAGCACGGCAAGAAATTACCTCTACGTTCAAATACTGCATGCAAAGAACTATATTCCTGTGCACTGTGTTGATAATACTCGCGTAACCGAGCAATTGATTCTGCATCCTCTGGGCCGGAAACACTGAACGGTGGTGGTGATGGGAAGGATAACACTGGTTTTTTCTAAAGACAGAAGATGAAACACACATTTCGAAAACTTGCTATCAAATAATTTAGAAATAGAAATAATAACAATTAAGCTAACCGAGGCATGTATAGGTCCTAATTCGTTCAACCATTTTAGGAAATCACGACGACTAACTGGGAAACCGGATTCAGACGGTGGCATGATTTCGTTCCCTTCCAAAACTGCAATATCCTTCGATAGCTGTGCAAAATTTAACACACCCTAAAATGCAAACTGTAGAATAAACAAAGCAGATCTTGTAATCCGAAACTGAAATAGTTTTTAAAGTTATCGAAGACGATAACAATGTATAAAGCAAAAGAATAAGGTGTAGTAAGCTGCTTACCTGATTCTCATTGAAATCTTCCGGTTTTGGATTCAGACAAATGATCATGCGCACTTTTCCAGTTCCTTCGAAAAAATTTTTAAATAGATGTGTTATTTTCGATTCTCTGTACGAAATTGCAACTGCCTTATCACGCAACTGATTGTCTCTATAATCTTAATTTTTTTTTTTCCTCATCCGAAATATGCTCATAGTTCTGCTTTGGCTTCTTATTTTAGCCAAGATATGATTCTCAAACACTACTATTATCAATAGTATTACGATGAAAGTTTAATATTATGATATATTATCAAGGACTTCGTTGTTGAATTCATGCAAAAATTTTGGAATGTACATTCGGGTAGCTTTACCCACACAACTGAGTACAGTATTTAGATTTTCTAATATGCTTAAGACAATGAATATTTAAGTAATAACATCTTTCTGTAAAAGTTTGTCACTTACCGCAATTTCTCAAAGCACTGACGAAGAACTGAAAGTCCTTGATTTATTTTGCCGCTTTCAATAAGGCGTGCTCCTTCATTTCCTGTCCTTTTTGTTCGTTCTGACCCAGCCAGGTCAACTAGTGATAACTGGCTAACATGTATCTATGAAAAACATTTTATCTACTCCGATAACATTCAAGATGTCTTATATATATATATATAGGTTTCTATACTATATGAATTAAATACCTTAGTAGGATCCGTATCAGGATAACACGTATTTAGAAGACAAGGAGCCATTACCACACGAATGTTAAATATAGAGTGTGATCGACTACTCTGTTTATTCAATAACGTATCACCAACACGACGTCTTTCTTGTCCTGAAAAATGAGAATCAATATTATCAAAATTATTCATCGTTCAATGCGATACATCTTTAGCTATTAACACCATTAAATTTCGGGCAAGTTGACAGAATTAGATGAAGTACAGAATTATATACTAATAATAAATTTTTGTAATATACTACCAAAAAACCTTTTTACTTAATTCACAGAATGATAAAATTATCTACAAATTAAATGTAAAGGTAAGAAGCAAGAGAAAAAATGAGAAAAAGTTTCGGAAGATTATGCTTTTTGAACTTTGATTTTGCTTAAATGTCACAATTCTACTAGCAACAAAAAGTGTTTCGAAGCGAAGAATTGAATTCGATTGAGAGATCTGTATATTAGGTTGAACAATGGCTTACATATGCAGCATAAAAATATGCAAATATATGATCTAATTAAAACCATTTACCTCGGTAAAACTGTTCTAATGCTTCATCACTTGAATCCACTTCAACTTCAGTTGTATTACCCACGTAAAACATGTTATTGGCACCCAGTTTGATATCCTTACCAGACAGTGTCCTAGAAACTGATGATTTGAAATTTATCAATAATTGATAAGCCAAAAAGAAAAAAACAATACCTAGTCAAGTTGTGATGAGCGACTTCATTTTCATATCTATACATAAAACGTTTCTTTCTTTTCTCCCTTTCAGTATAGTAAATGATAAGGACAATAGAAGTTCATCCTTCCTCAATTGTCAGTGACACACTATAAAAAATTAAAGCAAAATTTACCTAGTACCATCTGCTTTGAGTAGCGGTTCTTCAAGAAGATCGTAACAAACTTCATTATAAATTTCAATATATGAAACGAATACTGCACAAGCCAAATCTGGATTAGCACCGCTAACCTAAATCTTTCTTATATGATTTGAACAAAAAGCATATCGGAATATTTTAGAGATATTATCAGGATAATAACACTAAAACCATCTTTTGACTAAAACATATCTTTTTTTAAAGATCATTGTTTAAAAATCGTTGATGTAATAGAATTAGAAACTTCGTCAAAAGAGTGTTGTATGAAATCAAAAATCACCCTTCGACGTTCAACATAGCGATTTGCTAATTCAATTCCATTATCGGAATGTTCGAGTTCTAAGCGTCGTCGTGCAAGTGCTGATTCAAACTCATCACGCACATTAAAACCATTACGCCCATCTGGTTTGAAAACACATTTATCTACGCGGTTGATCAAAGAATTGAATATGACATCGAGAGTACGTGGAAGAATTCCAATCGACTCTTCCTATAAAAGCTACTTTGAAACATTTCAATGAGCAGTTAGATTTCTAAACACTGAAATGAAAAGAAACCGATGTTTTTCAAGGAGCTAATCGACGAACATTTGAAACACCATTGAAGTTAAGTACAGCACTAAGATATCAGAGCTCAACATGTGCTAATCTCATAGTAACATAAGAAATAATACAGTAAGAATTTGGTTTTTATACTGGAATGAAAAGTTAAAGCAATCACTTCAGTATTTCCGGTCATTGTGTAAGTTTTACCACTTCCAGTTACTCCATAAGTGAAAAGTAGTGAATTCTTTCCGCGGATCAGATTTTCGATCAAATCCAAAGCAGTACGTTCAAACACGACCCGCTGACTATCACTGTCGTCAAAGACATATGAAAATTCGTAAGTAGCTTCCAACTGCAAATTATTTGGCTAAAGTTCATGTGATGCATCTAAATACTTGTGAACAGAAAGCAGCTAGATAGCTATCGAACTACAACTTACTGTGCAAACAAAAGTTTGATTAAAAAATCAGTTTTGCTGCTACAGATTAAGAAAAACGTCAACAGCCTAGACACATAATACAGCTCAGAACATAGAAACCCACATATCATATTCCTTTCATTTTAACAACAGCTGGTCTAATTAAAAACAGAGATTAGGAAAAAGAAAATCTTTTTGTTACCGGCACACCGTTCCTGGACTGTATAGAAGCAGGTTGAACAAATCGAACATGCTCATCATCGATTGGTATCACGCAAGGATCATTTCCTTTATATGGACATAAACGACAAACTACTTCCACATTTTCTTTATGATCCGTCCGTTTACCTCCTCGCCGTGAAGGTGTTCCAGGACGTCTAAAATATTTAACCAATTGCTTTTAATAAACAAATAACTCATGAGAAGACTTCCTCTTCTTACACATTTCTAGTTTCTCCTCCCTACCAAATAAACTTTTCCGAAAACAACCCATCTCGAAGAATTTCAAATACATATACCTACGAAAACCTACCCTACCTTTTTTTAAAACTTCTTTAGTTGAAGTGAAATTAAAATATGCATCTTCAATAAATAAATCAAGAAAACATACTTCCGTGAATTCACCATTCAGTCTAAGAACTTTCGGCAAATTGTTAGAATGTTTTTACTGAAAAAATACCTAAAAAGAGGTATAACTGAATAATACTTGTCCATTATTAATAAAGACAAAAAATCTCAGATCCAATTACTTTATTATTCCATTATTCCTCATAAATTTTATTCTACTATTCCATGTTTGCATTTCACATCTCACAATTATGCAATAATTTTTCATTGCAAATGATGATATAATAGCCTGATCATTATCGAATATTAAAAAAGTCTTTAACCGATAACAATAACATATTCTCTCGCATCACACCAATCATCACGATAGTCATATGAGGATTATTCGTTTAAAAAGATATAAGTACAGAAGCTATCATTAATACCTATACATATATGACTACTTCTTTTGCTTTTCATGTAAAAGCAAACGAAGAAAAAGCCAAGGCGTACGTGGGATACATCACGTAAAACCTCACGTATCCATCTCTCTCCCTTTCTGTTTCCACGCAAATTAAACAAATCACCGTATCATATAAATTTGAATCTCATCTTCTAGCGCTTAATATCGTAATCGTTCGATTACAAATCAGAATTTCGTTGCGAAACCAATCAAAGGGTTAATTAGTATGAATTAAACTAAACGAACAGATGGATGGATGGCGATTATTTGTTTGTTTACTTGGCAGAATTGATGTTTTTTTTTTTTTTTTTCTTTCTTCATTTATATAAATTTCAGGAAATCCCGGGATTTCCTGAAATAATTTTTTCTTTTTATTTCTCTTTTTACAATTTTGTTTGAAAGTATATTCTGAAATAATTGCTAAAAAAATTAGATTATAAGAAAAATGATTTATCTAAACCAAAAATTAAATATATTGAAATGAAAGATAGCAATTATCTCATATTGTCACATAATTTTTGATATTTTGTAATTTTACATTTTGTAAGATTTCGAAAAAAAAAAAAAGTAACCAATAAATTTTGATTTGAATTTGTTACAATAATTCAATGATAGACAAATGCTTCAAGTATTGCATTCTCTATGAAAAGATATTTTGAAAAAAAAACTTAAAATTTTTCAAATTTTTGAAAAAAATCAAAAAAAAAGTTTCCAAACAAAATTTGCAATTATATTTATTACATATTGCTAAAAAAAAAAACAAATATTATCAATTGTTTTTTAGATTTATTTTCATTTTCATTTTCTTTTTTCATAAATTAAACGCAATGAAATAATTAAAAAATTTTTTACATTTCTAAAAATAATTATTTAATATTCAATTATTTCAAATATTTCATTTTATATAATCATTTCCTTAATGTATGTGCAATATTTGCGTATTCATCAAAATTTTTGACTTCTATAAGAAATGCACAAAAAATTTAATTATTACTTTTGATTAGATAATTTTGATAAATCATTTTTTTTTTTTTGTTTTCATTTGAAAACAACATAAATTATATAAATGAAATTTCAATTTGGAATGAATTATTGAAAAAGTGCACCTATCATTGGATATTAAATTCCTAGTGGATTAATCCAAAATTGCAATTATATTTCAGTTCTCAGTTAAACATTTTACAATACTCTTAGAGAAAGAACAGATTGAATTGATTAAATTAATATTTGAATATGTAAAGTAATCAAAATTCAATTGTACGATTTTATTGATAAAACTGTGAAATAATGTTTAAATGATACATTTAAATGAAACTTATTTTGACATGCATATAAATTGCTGCTTTCTAAAAAAATTACAATTCATCCAATTGAAATTTGATATCTTATTTTCATTTTTTTTTTTACAAAATATTGTTTTAATTCTTGACAAATAATTTTTAATTAATTGCAATTGTTGATCACAATTTGAAAATTTGCAAACACAATAACAATTAGAGTTACAAAATTTAATTAAAAATTTTTTATGATAAAAGAAGTTAACTGATTTTTTTTTTTTTTTTTTTTTGCATTTATTATTTTTATCTTTTGTTATAAAATGATTTAAAAAATAAAAATAAATAATTAATTCAAGAAAGAATAAATGTTTTTTTCTTATTAGAATTTCAAAAATATTCTAAAAGATAAACGATAATATCTAACATTAAAATGCACCATATGTTTAAATTTATTTAAACATATGATAAACAGAATTAGTAAATTGGCAAAATGAAATTAATGAATTATTATTATATTATATATCAAATGCAATGATATAATAACTACACACATAAATATTTATGAAAAAGATTTGATAATTATTTGATAATTTTAGTTTTCATTTTTTATAATCATTTCAAAAAAAAGGAAAGAATATTTTAATAATAGATGCAAATTTCTCTTGCTAATCAATTACTGATATTTAAATATAATTAATTACTGATATTTAAATATAACTTCCTAAATTAATATTTCAAGTAGTTATTATTAGGAAAATTTGAAAAACATCTTTTTATTGAATGATTATTAAACTAAAGAAAAAAGAAATGCAGTTAAAAATATTTGTTTTTGATTATATTTCCTCAATAAGTGTTAATTAAGGAATTTCATTTGTTGAGAAAATTTTTTTCACAACAATTAAAATTGATACAAATCGATTTTTTCTTTTTTTTTTTTTTTTTAATTTGTAATTCTGAAGCAACTTAATTGAATAAAAATATTTTTGTTGCAGAATAACTCAGAAATATCATAAAAGTAAAAGTGAATTGATATAACAATTTTTTTTTTTTTTTGTAAGTTTACTTAAAGTAAGTAAATGTTTAGAGACGGAACTGATCAGCTTAAACTATTTATGGATGGATATGATGATAAGATGATCAGAAATGTTATATGATAAGATAAGATAATGAAAAATATCAATTAGTCAAATGAATTAGTCAGAAACTGATAAGATTGAATGATCAATCATTCGTTGTTTAACACTGTCTGATCAATCAATCAAACAATCAATCATTTTGATGATTTAGATCAAAGCTGATTATGATCACTGATTGACAAGATAAAATAAAGATGGAAAAAGAAAATAATTCAGTATAATCAATGTTAACCTAAAAAATACAACAAATATTTGAATAAAAATTTAGTTTATTTATTATTTGGTGTTTATTATTATTATTTATTATTTGGTGTTTATTATTATTTATTATTTGGTGTTTATTATTATTTATTATTTTTTTTTTTTTTTTTTTTTTTATTTTTTTTTTTTTTTTTTTTTTTTTTTTTTTTTTTTTTTTTGTTTTGTTTATTATTATTTATTATTTGGTGTTTATTATTATTTATTATTTGGTGTTTATTATTATTTATTATTTGGTGTTTATTATTTATTATTTGGTGTTTATTATTATTTATTATTATTAATTATTTGGGTTTATTATTATTTATTATTGGTGTTTATTATTATTTATTATTTGGTGTTTATTATTATTTATTATTTGTGTTTATTATTATTTATTATTTGGTTTATTATTATTTATTATTTTTATTATTATTTATTATTTGGTGTTTATTATTATTTATTATTTGGTGTTTATTATTATTTATTATTTGGCGTTTATTATTATTTATTATTTGGTGTTTATTATTATTTATTATTTGGCGTTTATTATTATTTATTTTTTGGTGTTTATTATTATTTATTATTTGGCGAATCAGTGACATTCAATATTCTGCGACATTATATTTTAGCGTTAATATTTTATGCAAATGCTTGTTTTTTACAAACAAAATGTGACACAGTGTTACTTTTACAATCTTCTGAAATCCATGAACCATTTGTTAGTAGTATAGCACAGTGCTGGGATGGATTACGAAGTGAAAGTTTTGAAAATGACAGAGTTGTACCATCGGTCCAATGCCATGTTGTATGGACATCATCGTAAGCAAGACCAATCCATGCAGATTGCCAGCCAAAAAATGCTAATGTACCTGGGAATAATGTTGGTAAATTTTTGAAGATAAATCATTTAATTAATATTTGTTAAGAAAAATTTTCTTTTTTTTTTTTTTTTTTTTCCATTGTAAAATATTCAAATAGGAAAAAATTAATCGAACAGAAATAAAAAGTTGAAAAAGTAGCAAAAAAAAAAAAAAAAAAAAAAAAAAAGGAATGAAAATGTATTTATTATTTTAGAATATAAAAAGTGCAAAAGTTTATTTAGTATTTAAATGTAATTTTTTGTAAAATTTTCTTTTTTTTATTTACTAAATTTAAAAATAAATTTAATTTTTTAAATTATACTTTGTAAATCATAATTTTCATCATTCGAATGAATGGATACTAAATCAGATGAACCACCATTTATATCACTGTACGAACGACATTTTTCACGTGCGCTTTTTTGTGTCAACATGGTTAATTCATCAGTGTCATCGTCAATGCTTGCAACGTACTGAAAAAATAATTAGTAATTAGTACCTAAAATATTTTTTTTTAATTAAAATAAACAGTAGATAGTAATTAATTAATTAATTAAAATATTAAATAGCAATTAAAATAAGTAGTAATTAATATCTATAAAAATTCTATTACATTGCTCATTATTTCTCATACTAATAATTGATTGCATACAAATATTGTAAATAAATTTCCTAAAATTAAAAAAAAAAGGAGGAAATATCATACCTTATAGCAATATGGTACTTTTATTTTCAATGATTGATTATAAAGATAAATTGGTCCATCCCATTCAAAATCTCGACATACTTCAAAAAAAAAAAAAAAAAAAGAGCAAAAATATTTTTAAAAGTAAATTTTGGCTTAAATGATTTAGTTTTTATTAAATTAACTAAAATATTAACACTAACATTTTTCAGTTTGATGTTGTGATGATAACAGTTGATGATTATCACTGTTATCATTGATAGTGTGATGTTCAATAGCAATTGCTGGATGTTTTGAGATGGTTGATGGAAAAAGTGAGCTTTCCTCTAATTTATGTTCAAAATTAAATGAATCACTCTGCTGCACTAGACCTGCTTTCATTTCAGCCATTGCTGTTTTTAAATAATCTATTGGTAAACAATTTGCTGGCAAATTGTTTACCAATAGATTATTTGATGCTGATGAGGTTGATGATAGAGAATTACGCTTCTGCCTATAAAATTTTGTATAAAATGGTAAATGATAATTAGTTGAAATAAATATTTGCATAATATTTATTTTATAACTAATATTTATACAATCTTATCAATAATTAGATGAATTAAGACAAAATATATTAAAATTTAATGGAAATTAAATTTAAATTAGATTAGTAAAACAATTAAATAATATCAATAATTTATCAATTAAAAAAAAAAAAAAAAACCTCAATATTCTTATTATTATTATGAAAAAAAAAAATTATTATAAACTAATATTTATACAATTTTATCATTTAATAATTTACAGATTATAAACTTGGCTCATTAATCTAATATTCTTAATGAATTATATTTGAAAAAATGCTAGAATATTTCACCTTGCAACTGGAAAACATTGAATATTTGGTGCAATGGTTGTTGTCGGTGTACGAGGATTATAGGTGCTTGGATGTGATTTTGGTTTTGTCACCGCACTGGTTGCTAAACATCCATTACAGCGTTGTATTAATTCGAGAATATGAAACCAAATGGTTGATAGTAAAATATGCAACCAAATAGATGATAGTTGATAAAACATTTTTTAATTTCTTTCTCTGTTTTTCTTTTTTTTCCCTTTCAAATCAATAATCTAAATTAAATATTTTAAAAAAAACAAATTTCATACTACCATATTTTTATAAAAATTACATTTAACATTGCGATAATCATACGATGCTAATACTTATATAATATTACAATCAGTTTTTCTTTTTTTTTTTCGATCTTAATTTAAATCTAACACTTTTATATTATTCGACAAATTCTGTTAATATGAAAATATTCATCATAAAAGTAAACATTTATTAAATTAATATATGAAATAAATAGTTATTCTAATTAATCATATAAATTAAAATTCATTTTTAAATTAATTTTTTTTTGTTGATTATAGCTCAATTACTCAAAAGTGTAATTACTAATATCTAATAGGATATATAATAGCAAAAATGACCAGATAAATCATGATATTTAAATTAATCATAATACTTAAGATAATCATGATACTTAAAATAATCATAATATTTAAACTAATCATGATAGTTGAAATAATTATGATATTTAAAATAATTGCAATATTTAAAAGATAAAAAATGATTGTTGGCTATAAACGATGATGGCATTAATGAGAAACTAGCAAATGAACAAATATTGTTGGCATTTTAAGTGATCAAAAAATACAAACAAAAATAAATTCAATTGACCGGGAAGTAAATCAAACATTCTTAAATATTCTTTCAAAGACGAATAATCATGCATAACCTATTTTTGCAAATACTAATATTTTTAAATTTGAATTGAATCAATTTATTTTGCTAGAAAATTTTCTAAATTTTTCTAATTTATTCATTCATAATTCCTTTCTGTATTATTTTATTATTTATGCAACTGTCACATATTTATGTCACTTAAAATAATAAAAAAGAATTTTTTTTTTTTTTTGAATTCTATAAAATATCTTTATCGAATCATCACTTCTTTATGTCTACTTACTTTGTATGATAAATGATTTTTTTATTATTTTTATTATTATTATTTAGATTAAATAAAGTAATACAATTTGATTCTCATTTAATCATTTGTAATTTCAATTAAATAAAAATTTAAAATCTAATTTAAATTTTTAGATAAAGAGTCAATTTATATAATTATTTTTCAATTTCTATACAAAAAAATTTAAAATCATCATGACAAAATGCACATACATTTTTTCAATCATTTTAATCTTCATACTTCATCCTTCTTTTTTAATTATTTACCAAATTCCATTATCTTAAATTGTGGTGATTAGTTTAGATTGCAAATCAATAATTTTAAAGCTAATTTGACAACTAATAATTTTAAAATTATATAAATTGATTCTTTATTTAAAAATTTAAAATTACATCATTAGATTTAGGGAAATTTTTCTAATCGCTTTAATTTTACAAAAATGCGAAAAATTTGTAATCAATTCATCTTTTGCGGTGCAAAAATCATCTGTTCTCTGCGATATAACTTTATTACACAATTACATCAAACAGAAAAAAAAAAAAGAAAAAATTTGAGTTTCGAAAATGTCATAAAGGTCAGCTCACGATTGATGTAAATGATTGATGCATAAACTTGAAATTATGATATTATCAAAATTATTCTCCTATTCAAAATTGTTATCAAAATTATGTCACGAGCTATATTTTTGCTTTAATTCATCTCTTTAAAGTACTCTCAATCATTTGACATCTGCAGAACAGTATTTATGACTGTAAATATTTTAACTGCCAAAAAATACACTACTTTTTGACAAGAAAACAAAGACAATTTGTGATAAGACAACAAAAACGATTCAGTGATAGGACAACAAAAACGATTCAGTGATAGGACAACAAAAACGATTCAGTGATAGGACAACAAAAAAGAGAAACAAAAGCGATTCAGTGATAGGACAACAAAAACGATTCAGTGATAGGACAACAAAAGCGATTCAGTGATAAGACAACAAAAACGATTCAGTGATAAGACAACAAAAACGATTCAGTGATAAGACAACACAAACGATTTTTGTGTTTTTCTATTATTAGCGCACTTATTCATTTTTTACATGAAAAAAAAAGAAAAAAAAAACACTATTCTTATAAGGATTACACAAAATATGTAGGATAAAAAATAGTACTATAAATATATGATGATAATGATGATGATGATAACTTATTAATATACAAATTCAGTGTTTAATAACAAAAACAAAATGATGCATTTATTTATCTGACTTCCAATGGCAGCGTATCCACACTTCATTAATAAGTATTCATTTCTAAGTAGTCAAAACAGATACAATCATAACTCAGAAGTATAATAAAAATAGCTAACTATTGATAATACATCAACAAATTTAATACATAGTAAACAAGAAAATAAGAAATCTCAGTCTAATATATAGTAGAATTTTACTCAAGAAAAGAGTTTCTCTAATTAAGCTGTTCCTAGTAGCTTCTCATTGCAGAAATCTTTCACATTTTGTAAAATTTCCATTTCTGATAATTTCAACCTTTCAACCATAGATTTTCGAATTGCATTATATTTGATAAATTCAGATGATTCTGAATGCGCCACTTTAATCGGGTCGGCTACTCTATCATATGCTCTAAGGAGAAGAGCAAAACGATCATGAAGAAAATTCCAAGCTTTTCGAACATTATCTGATGAGTTCAGTGCTTCTTCCACTTGTTCAGTTGTTGAAAATACTTCATCCAAAACATAAATTTGAGCAAAACGAAACAATAAATCGTGGAAATATGGCTTTGATATGTTTATTTCAAAAGCGAAAATTGTCGATTCAGCAACAAAACCAAGGTCATGAAATAAACGCATGCGTGCAACTTCACGTTTCGATTTTGGAAGTCCTGAAAGCAGTACCTTTTAAGAGAAAACAACTATGATTTTTGGCTTATCGTTTATTATCTTCTTTTTTCCAGTTGATTTTGCTTCTGAAACTTTGATGTCAATTTTACAACAGAAATATCCATCTTTCAATATTCGGCATAAATTAACGAATAAAATGCATCAACCATAAGTTTACTTAAAAAAATTTTGTTTTTTTCTTTTCACTAATAAAATTTTGTTTCTCATAAACAGCAGCAAAAACAAATGAAAAATTGTCGAACACTCGTAACATTTCAATGAGGTAAACAAGTAGAGTATTTTGCATTTTGCAGATTATGTTTTTGCTTGAGAAGGATGAGAACGGGAGAGCAGCCTTACTGATGGTCACCAAAAATTGATTTCAATATTCTTTTGAAAATTTTTGTGTAAATATACCCTAAATAATTTGCAACCTACCAATTTTCAACTTATAAATATCTCGAGTGTTTTTCTCGGAAGGTACAAAACCATTATGCAGCAGGAAATCACGATTGCTTCGCCAACCGTAGAAAATATTCACAGATTCTAAAGGTTTGTAATCTCGAACAGCAATAATTTCGGCACAGTCAAATTCAACCGAAAAATGTACTGATTCATGAAAAGTTCCCTCAATGTAACTATGATTTGCCATATCCAGAAATGGTATCAATCCAGGTATCTGAATTTAAAAAAGATGCAATTAAACAAAAAAAAAAAAATGTACGAACGACTATCAGACAAAAAATAATGAGAAATAATGCTATTTGAATCACTATGTCTTATTTAAAATTTCAAAAATTTGAAACTAAGACACCACCAATAATTCTCGACATTTATAATAATAAATATAACAGCATATTTTGCATAGAAATTCTTACTGAGAAAAAATTCATTGGAAAGAAAAAAAAAAAAAAAAAAACTCAAACTTAACTGACATGTCCTAAGTAAAGTAGCATAACAATAGAATGAATAAATTCACACATATGATTAAAGCCTTCTATCTAAAAAGTGAATTTTCAATAATTTAAGAAACGCACCAGTCGTGGTTGACCTACATCATCTTTTGACATTTCACTTGGTATCATATTAATACGCGTTGAAATGCATGCAACGGACCATCGATATAAATTGAATGTGAAATTTGTTGCGGTGAGAGGAGAATTAACATATATTGGCTCCAGCTTTTCTTTTGATTTCTAAAACATCCTATTGAACCAATTTACTAATGCAATGAAATGGTATCTATGTTTACATACTTATGAACTATCCAGATTAACAAACTTCGAGATCAAAACTTAAAATAAAACTTATTTCAACCATTGTAAACCAAAGTTCATCTGATTTAGTCTGAGTATTATTCTTGCCTGCGGAGAAAACAACAATTTTCTTGAGGATAAGGGTTATGGACTGAATAAATAAACAAATAAAGTGTTTCTCTAAAATTCAGAAAGATAAGATAAAACAAAGTTTTTTCATGATAGCAAGTAACAATAGTGAGTATGTAATGAAGTATCCATTAAAAATTGTTTCATCAAATAATATTACTTTTTTTCTATGACGAAATTCATCGCTGCGTATAATTTCCAGTAAGAAGTGAATAAATTGCCTCGAAACATTTCTGTATAGCAATAACGATTCTTCAAATAACGGTGATGGACGCAAAAACTAAAAAAATAAAAGCAGTTAAAATGAAAGTATGCTATATTGCATATTAATGCAACGATATTAATATTAAACATTTTTTCGTTAAAGATATAAATAATCCTAGAAAAGGCTTTCTGGAAAAAGATCCATATACCAATTAAGGTAAACAGAACAGAGGTCTTTTACGCTGATAAATTATGTAAGCTTGACTTGGAGAGTGTGAATGAAAAAGGTGCTGGATAGAATAAACAAACGGCTGAAAAATAAAGACTTGCCGCAACCTTATATCTTTTTAGGTGATAATAATTATAAAGGTGATTTATCAAAATACGGTTATATTGAAAGAGAAGCATGGGAAGGTGATGAAGCAGGTCATGTAAAAAATACAGCTCACTCTATGGAAAGTAGACTAGGAATGCCAGGAGATTATATCAAAATTCAATTAAAAATTGATCCTGAATATCCTATAATTAGAGCTCAAGCTACAGAGGGGGGTGGTGGACTCACAAGTCATATATCCAATAAGGATGGTGGATCAACTTTCATAAAAATGTGCAAAGACTCTTCAGAAGCAAACTGTAAAGATTTAATTACTGTTGCAGGTAGTGACAAATATAGGACGTACGGCGGAAAGGAGTATAAGAAGACGAAGATCCATAATAATTTAGGTAATTTAAAGATATTAGGAAATTAAACAATAGTAACAAATAAGAATTTTACTGAAGACAATCAAGTAGCATATGTAAATATACAAAGGCCCAGGAAATTATAAGCAATAGTTAACTGAATTGTACCTTTCAATATATTGAAATAGCGTGTTATATCTGGAAAGCTAGGTATAGAAATATCAATTTCAATGAACTGGGCAATCAGAGACAGAATCAACAGAAAGGGTAGTAACATTTAAAATTTTTAACTAATGGATAAAGGTAGCACATTAAAAGAGCTTAGCAAAGAATATTTTTATTATTACAAAAATGGCCCCCAAGCGGGAAAGGCTAGTGGTTTAAGCATAAGAATTAGAAAACTCTGGAAAGAGTAACCATAGAAGGTGATAGTCCTGCATAAGTAGAAAGTTTTTAAATCCTCGAGTAGAGCGGGACACGTGAAATCTTGTTTGAACATGGGGGATCATCCTCAAAGCCTAAATACTCCTTGACGACCGATAGTGAACAAGTACCGTGAGGGAGAGGTGAAAAGAACCCCGGGAGGAGAGTGAAATAGAATCTGAAATCGAGTGCTTACAAACAGTTGGAGTTTTATGTTTTTGCTATGGGAGCGATGTTGTAGCTAATTTACATTAGAGTGACAGCGTACCTTTTGCATAATGGGTCAGCGAGTTAAATCTATAAAGCAAGCTTAAGTCGTTAGGTATAGGAATCAATCGATAAGTATTCTTTTTGATTGACCAATAAGATTGCAGATAGTTCATATCACTCAACTTCTGAATAAATGGAACTATTGCATCGATTTGTGCGACACATGCAGAAATAGATCACATTTACCTTTCATATAAGGGATTTATAAGTTAGTGATTAATAATTCCGATAGAAATATGCGATCAATCAGATTTTAAGAGGAAAGCAACATAAAGAATGTTGAACAGCAAAGGAATAGAATCTTTTTATAAGCAAAAAATTTTAGTTTACTGACATGAGTTAATAAGCAGAAAAGATTACTGCTGCCAAATTCAATCTTTTCAATTGAAAGAGAGCAGAATTTTAGGATACTTCAGATCTCTATTTAAATATATAGTTGAACAATTAACTTAGTAACTCTATTTATACAAAGATATTTGTTACCAACCTGTAACTGTTCAACAGTGAAGAATAGAGGAGTATTGAAATTCTCAGGAAGCACTTTAATATATGGCTGCCAATATGAATCCGGAACTAGTTTCTGGCAACATAGCATCATTGCCAAAGCAACATTTTCCATTGAACGTATTATTATATCTCGGTCAAATGCACGTCGAAAATTTTATTGTCATGAATGAAGTTGAAAAGATATGATTAATATGAAACCAAAGTCACTTTTGAGTATCTTACAGCTTATTACTAAAAAATGAAAATCTTACAGCTTATCAATAAAAATGAAAATTTTACTTTAAGAAAGATGATCGTCGAGCATGGTCCAATGAAAAGATTGCTTTTCGAGGAACTCTTAACAAATCTGATCCAACCGTAACATAATCTGAGCTTACCAAACCAAATCCATCCACATCTTCGTCATATGCAATTTTTACAAAGCAATGAGAAATTCCAACTATATCGGCCCACTGTAGAAAATTTGCTAGAGCTGCTTTACGCCGTTCCAAATATCTACAACAAAATTAACATATTTTAAGAATTTGATATCTAAAGAGAGAAAAAACTTCAGTATATAAATATTAAATACAACTCAGCACTAGTAAATTATATGTAGAAATTAACAAATTACATATATTGAAATATTCATTTCTTCATTTAGTCTTCACACTTTCATTTTGTAAGGAACAACTTTTTCCAAATAATAAATATCAGTAAACAAGTTCACTTGCAATTAACCTTCAAGCTTAACTAACAGAATAAGTAGGGGAATTAAGCAAATCCTCAATCAATGTGTAATCTCGATGCCAATTCTAAATCTAACTGAGAAGAACAACTTCATCACTAACATCTCTATTCAGATAGACCATTCATTTCAATAATTTATTAATGAAACAAGAAGCATTCTAACTGCAACGAACTCACGTTAAAGCAGTTTCTGATTTTCGTGAAAAATTTTTTTGCATAGTTTCGATTTCTAGTAAGGATTCTCGAATCACCATATGCTCTTTTAGCAGTTCGACTGTATTCGAAGTAGGAGTATGACACAGTGTCATTTCCCATAATTCGCTTGCATGTCTTTGTAATTCATCCAAAAACTTTCGGTACTGCGAAACGTCAAAACTTTCACACGACGATGATCCACTGAATGACCCACTATTTGAACTCATTGCTAAACAACTTTTATGAAAGATCAATTTATTGAAGTAACATTTACGAAATTTCATGAATGATTGATAAAAAAAAAAAACTTTCATGTCAATAGGAAAATCTGTTTTAATAGGATATCTTAGGCAGTGATAAATGTCCCATTTTCGATGTGATTTAAAAACGAAACGATAAGTGATTTAACACTTTTATTTTCAAATACATTAAAATGCATAAACCTTTTTTTTTCTACTTGCTAAGAAAAAAAAAAAAAAAAACAAATGTTAAAGTATGAAGTGATAATAAAAATAAGCCACTGTCCCTTCTCATTTCAGACTAAAGCAACAATGAAAGTAGCCAATATCATTTCACACTTCAGACACTTAATAATAATCAAATAGTTAAGAGAAAGAAAAATGAAAGAAATACGAGACAAAGAAGTAGAAAACCTAGAAAAGTAGAAAACAAATTACTGAAGTGGAAAATATGCTATAAAATGTTAATAAAATCCATCACATTCTTCCACTAATACATTTCTTAGTGTTTCAATAAGTTCTTTAAATTAAATTAATTGACTTGAAAACTATATAACTTAGATTTGGAAATGGAAATGTTCACAAATTAAAACAAATGAATGAGTTACACTTTTTTGATGATTTAAACCATTTATTTAGTCCAACTTAACGATCAATGTTACATAAGATCGAAATGAAAAAATAACGGTTCACTTACATTTCTCAATGTTCGATTAATTTTGATAATGGATTATAGAATTGCTAAACAATGAAATTAAGTGGAGTAATTATAACTCTCTCAGAGGGAGACTCTCTCTCCCTCTCTCTCTCTCTTTGAATTATATTAGTTAAAAAATGCTATTATGATACAATCTTAACTAATCAATATTTTGTCATCTAAAATGTCATCAAATTGATTGTTGAAAACATTATGTTGGATGATTTAATTTCTGAAAAATCATTTTTTTTTATTAATATAACTCTTTTATTTCATATTAATATAATTGAGAGAGATAGAGGGAGAAAGAAAGAGAGAGAGGGAGAGGGAGAGAGAGAGAGAGATAATTATTCCATTTAATTTCATTGCTTATATTTGACTAAATTCATCATATTGTTATTAAATTATTATTATCAAAAACTTAGAGATCAAAAATTACTAAAATTTTAACAATTTTTTCTTTTCAAATTAATATTTTTAAGAATTTTAGATGCAATATTGTTTGACTAAATAATATATATTCGAGAAAATATTTGAAATAATATATTCGAGAAGAAATGATAAAATTTTTTTGTTTTCTTTTTTAAAAAAAAAAACATGATGAAAGATGAAAATGATCAATGATTTTCTGATCGATCTATTGTATGGTAAGCAAAAAATTTACTTGAAGGGAATTGATTATATGAATATTGATAAGATGATAAGCATGATAAGAATAATCATTAATTTCATTTGAGGAATTTATTTCATATTTAATTAACTATTTGAGCATGGCGTTATTGACTTAAGCAATCAGTGAAATGTATGGAAGAATATGACAATAATATAAATACTGATAAAATGATAAACATAATGAAAATATTCATTAATTTCTTTTAAGGAATTTAATTATAATGTAAATTCTAGTATAATTAAATTTTATTTCATAAATTTTCTTATATTTTTAAATATAAGAAACTTTTTTTTAACTTCTTTTTTACTTAAAAAAAAAAAAAAAAATTCCTTTTGGTTTGTATTTTTTCAATGATTTATTAATAAAACAATAAAATCTGTTGCAAAATATTTTAGCAAATAAACTAATCGATAAGGTTAATTAAATTAATTACTTTTAATTTTATTAAAATTTTTTACTATTCGTTAGGTTCATATTCGGTTTGCATACAAATGAGAAGATGTTAAGTTATAAATAATTTATTTATTGAAAAATTTTTTTCAATTATAACAAATTTTTAATTATTAATAATAAAATCAATTAAAAATAGTATTTGAATAAATGATTGAAATAATTATTAATTGTTGCAAAAAAATTAAAAAAAAAAATAATAAAAATAAATTCATATATTAGATGAAATTTATCCTAATTATAACTGTTGTTACTAAATTTTTATAATCAAATAAATTTTATTCAATGAAATATTTTAACTTTTCTTATATCATATTTTTTTTTTTTGCTTTTTCATTTTATTCAATAAAATATTTTAATTTTTAAAAAATAATTTAATGGTAGTACGAGTTGAAAGTTTAATAGCATTGATGAAAAAAAGATTTAAGAATCAGTCTGAATACTTTGCTATCAAATATTTATTTAAAATGATAGTAACAATCATTTCAATATATTCTAGTATCATACTTTTCAAATTTATCTTTTATCATTTAAATTTATCAGTGTAGCAGAATGTTTCATTTATATCATTAAAAAGTATTTTTGATAAATTACAATATCATTTGCTTTGCAATTATTAATTTTTTTTTTTTTTTTTTGACTATTTCAAAATTTTCCAAGAAAATATAATTAATTTTGTAAATTAAATTTTTATCTTTTGAGTTAGCAATAATAAAAACTCGATGATTTAATCCAAATTATTATATCATTTTCTGAAATTGATCATGTAATAATTAGACAAAGTGATAATCACTGATTAAATGACAATCATTAATTGTACTAATCAATGATAAGCGATGATTGATCATTGATTATTTGATAATTTGAATATTCTGTGCTTTTGCTTATTGGTTTTTTTTTTTTGTCGCAATGTCACATTTAAACCATTTCGTATTTTTTTTTTTTTTTTAATTAGAAAAATGACTATTTATTGATTATTTAATTTTCAATATTCTTCCAAAGCATAAAAATTGAATTAAAAATATTTTGCTGACAAATTTTTTTTTGTTTGTTTTTTTTTTTTTTTTTAAATACAAACAGATATTATTGTTAGAAAATTCAAGATTACTTAAATAAAATTTTATTTTGTGCTAAAATAAATTATTCTTTGATCTTTTCATTTTGTTAAAAATTATAATTGAAAAAAATTAGTAACAAATTTTATTCATTATACATTGATATAATCAAAACTTATCAAAACATTTCTTAATAATTTCATTCTTTTTTTTTTTGCACAATTGATAATAGACTATTTAATTTGATTTTTAAATAGCTAAGAAATGTTTGATTTAAATTTGAATGTTTGCAAAGAAACTAAGTAATTAAAATTAAATAAATAATCCTAAATGATAAATTTTTTTTTTTTTTTAAATCATTTTAATCTACTTCAATTTAGACTAATTTTAAATTTGTTTTTTTTTTTTTTTTTAATAAATTTTTACAAATATTTTTCACTTCTCTATTATTTCCAAAAATATTTCAAATTATCAAAAAATTATCAAATAAAAATAAAACCTTTTATAATTTCTGTCAAATATCAATAAAAAAAAAAAAAAATAATAAATAAATAAATTAGTTAATTAATTGTTTAGAATTTCTATGAATTCAATAAAATTTTCATATTGAAGAAATAATATCACTGTGTTAAGAGAAAAAAAAAAAAAAAAAAAGAAGAAAAATTGAATCCTACACAAATGGCAAATCATACAAATTTGATTTTTGTTATTTGTTTTTTGTAGAAATTAATTTTTCTGAATTATACAAAAAAATTAAAATATTATTTATAATTAAAGTGCTATCTATTAATGTTTATATTTTTCATAATATATTTATATTTATATATTTTATTTATATATATTATATATTTTATACTCATAATATATTTATATTTATATATTTTATCATTAAAATTTCAAAAAAAGAAAAATTAAAAATTTGTTATTTTAACAAAATAAATTACATTTATATTTGATATCTTATGCTAAGTATTATTATTATTATTATTACTATCATTATTATTGCTATTATTGTTATTGTTATTACCATTATTATTATTATCATTATTATTATTACTCTTATTATTATTACCATTACTATTATTATTGTTATTGCTATTATTATTATTAATCTTATTATTATTACCATTACTATTATTATTGTTACTATCATTATTATTGTTTTATTATTATTATTAATATTAATATCATTATTACTAGTAGTCATAATTATTTATGCTACGGAAATCTATCCAAAAGCATTTAATTAGCATCAAAAAAGACTACAAAAATGCAAATACCTTTCGATATTAGTAATTCAAATGATTGATTTGCTCATTAAACTTAAAAATGTTAACAATAGACTTAAATAATAAATGATAATAACATAGATTTGAAAGGCTTTTTACGTTGTTATGGTGACAACTGCAACAGCAAATGGTTGAGAATTTATTATTGAATTTCAATATTCAATTGTTATCTTTTATGTTAGCTATTTTCAGTTCTATAAAATTTAATTGGAATTTATAAACAAATAGAAATTAATTATCGATCATTCTTTTATTTCAGTTCTATTTTCACTTTCTTTTTTTATCATTATCAACTATATTGTAATATGAACAATGCTATACAAATTATCCAAAATATATTTCATCAAATATCTTTGAAAAAAAAAAAAAAAATTATAATATTATTCATTGTTCATTTGCTAAAATATAGGATAAAAAATTCTGAAAATTATTATCATTATTATATCTCATTAATATCACATAAATTATTAAAATTAAATATAAAATAAATATAATAAAATTTGTTTAAAAGTATTCTCTTACAATTTTTTTTTTAATCGTAATTTGTTGTATTTTACTTTCTCATTTTCAAAATTTTTAAATTAATAATTTGAATAAAAAAAAAAAAAGAAGAAAGTAGGATATTTTCAATTTCAGTACTCAAATTTTATTTTATATTTCATACTAATAAGACAAAATTTATCTGTCTATCTATGCTATCTATCTGATTCGATATTTTTTTTTTGTTTCAAATTTCAAATTTCAATTTCAATTCTGTGATGTTTACCGATTCACCGCCAACTATTAGAAATGAATGTTATACAACAACTGCAATAATATGCACATTTTTTGCATGTCTGTGTATTTTTCTACTGATTTTTGCACTCTTTTATTTAGCATATTTTAAACCATTTTTTAACGATCATAAATATTGCATAAAACAACAACAACAACAACAACAGAATGGTTAGTTTTTTTTAATTTTAAATTTTTTTTTTTTTTTTAGTCTTTTTGTAAATCAAAAATTATTTCAAAAATCATTGCTAATGAAGACAAATATAATAGTAAAATCATTTTCATCTTAAATAAATTTATTAAAATTAAATTAATCGGATTAAATTTGAAAATATTTCATTGTTTACCTTTTGTTTATTTATTTATTCATTTTTTGTTTGTAGTTATTTTAAGAATAAAATTAATTCCATTACATTCATCATTATATTAATAAAATTTTGGATTAATTAATCTTTGAAGAAAAAAAAAAAAAAAATTTCTTTTTTCACTTTTATTAGAACTAATTGAATAAATTATTAAAAGATACTAAGAATTTTGTTGGATTATTTTAATAATTCAAAAATTTAATTACAAAACATTTGAAAAATGTATTCAAATTTTTAAACTTTAATCGATCTATTAAAATTGATAAATGTTGGTTTTTGTTTTAAAAGCTAAAAAAAAAAAAAAAATAGATAAAAGTTTTGAAGATGAAAAATTCATTTTTAGAAAAGGAACAGCAAATATCGGCAATAACACTTCTCGAACAATACGACACCCAAGTAATAACTTATACTTTTTATAAGTTTTTTTTTTTTTTTTGAAACAACTGAATATTAATTATATCTATTAATAGAATAAAATTTTAATTTAAAAATTTGTAATTGTATAAAATTTGACGGATTATTCTTAACTGTAAGTTTTAGCTAAAGTTTTTTTTTTTTTTTTTGATCCAACATAATTTTTCTATTTAAATCACTATTGATGATAATATCAATTTGTATTACATAATAATATTACAGTTCCGTTTTTTTTTTAATTTCAGAACAAATTTTCATATCCAAAATATATTTGCGATATGCAAATATCACCTAAAGAAAGTTGTAAACAACAAAATTGTAAACAAAGTTATATAAAGCATCGTGAATATAGACGACGTCGAAAGAAACGTCAACCAATTTCACTTTCAACAATTAATGAGAATTATGTGACAGATTCTTTTCCAAGTAATTTTTTTTTTTTTATTTTCTCACATATTGTAAATATTGCGTAAACATTTTCACGTCGATTTTTTTTTTTTTTTTTTCAAATTGAATTTATTATTTCCTTTTTATCGCTATTTATTATTTTCATCTGCTTGTTTATTTACTTGTCTAATTAAAAGAAACAAATATATTTTGAAATTTTACTATTTAAGAACTTTTGTAATATTTACAATAATTCTTCATAACTATTAATAAATTTCATCGTTATTCCTATTCCTTTTTTAATTTTTACTAATATTAAAATAAAAAAAAAAAAAGTTTTCTTTTCATTTTCAGAATCAACCATAATCGATGATAAATGGATTGTTGGAAAGGAAATGTACGCTTACGATAATCGATTATTTAATAATTGCAAATGTCGAAATTGTACATTTAGTAAAATTATGAATAGTAATGCTAGAACAATAAGGCAATCAGTGTTACCTGAATGTCATAGTACACCTGTATAATAGTTTTATACACTTAGTAAAATTATGAATAATAATGCTAAAACATTAAGGCAATCAGTGTTACCTGAATGTCATAGTACACCTGTATAATAGTTTTATACACTTAGTAAAATTATGAATAGTAATGCTAGAACAATAAGGCAATCAGTGTTACCTGAATGTCATAGTACACCTGTATAATAGTTTTATACACTTAGTAAAATTATGAATAGTAATGCTAGAACAATAAGGCAATCAGTGTTACCTGAATGTCATAGTACACCTGTATAATAGTTTTATACACTTAGTAAAATTATGAATAGTAATGCTAGAACAATAAGGCAATCAGTGTTACCTGAATGTCATAGTACACCTGTATAATAGTTTTATACACTTAGTAAAATTATGAATAGTAATGCTAGAACAATAAGGCAATCAGTGTTACCTGAATGTCATAGTACACCTGTATAATAGTTTTATAATGTTAACTGTTATTAATATGTATGATATAATAACAAGAATTCCAATTGCTAAATGAATTTTATAAATTTTTTAAATGAATTAATCTGTTATTTATATTTTCTGTCTTTTTTTCTTCTTTACAAATTTTCAATAAATTTGAAAAATTCAACAAATTGTCAATTTTCAAAATAAACAATACCTTATGTTAATATCCAATAGAAGAAAAGAAAAAATAATTTGAAAAGAAAAATTTGTCATTTTTAAAAATGAAATAAAATATTTTATTTATCAAATTTTATGCTTTTATATTGGTATTTGCCGAATGATCATAATATTATCTCATATGCATTGCTGAATTCTTTTAAATTAGTTAAATCATTTATAACATCTAATAATATCTGTTCAAATTTTGAATTAGAATTTAATCTAATATTATTAGATTAGATATGAAAATTAATTTTTCAATTTATTCAATAGATCAAAACTTTTTACAAAAAATAAAAATTTTAATAAAATTAAAATTGAAATGATGCTGTAAATATTTGCTCTGTTTGCTATTGGAATAATTTAGTTTAATAAAAATTTCAAAAAAAAAAAAAAAAAGGCTAATTTTTATTCGAATTAAATTTTTTATAATTAAAATCATACATTTGAGCAAATAAAAATTTCATTTAATGTTTTTTTCTCTTTTTCTCTCTTTCATTAAAGTTATAAATAATGTGAAAATTTTTTTGAAATACGACAATAAAATTTATTGTTTAGTTTAATCTTTCCTTTAATATTTATCATTTCATTGATAATCAATAACAAATTATTCCACTTATAATTTCAAGCAACAAATATTGAAATGGTTTTTTTTTTTTTTTTTTAACACTTTAAATTTTGTTGGCAATATTGTAATTCTTTTTTTTTTCAAAATTTTTAAATTATTTCTAATTTTCAGAATTTATAATAATATTTTGTAGGGGAAAAAAAAAATTTGTCTTTTTTTTTTTAGTTTTATAAACGCAAACATTTGAAAAATAAGATATGAATCAACAATGTATTTATGATTCAATCTAAGAACAAATAATAAAATTTTTCTACCATAAAAATATTATTGTCACATCAAAAAAAAAAAATTTAAATGTAGCAGTTTTATTCTATAATCATTTTAAAATATTCCTTCAATAAGATTAAACTTTATTCATTTTTCAAATATTTCATTCATATTTTATAAAAAAATTTCAAGTATTATTGAATAATAAGACTAATAGTTACAAATATTTGCATAATTAATGCTTAAATTTTAAATTTGATAAATAAAAAAAAAGGAAAAAAAGAAAAGAAAATTGAGAGTTATATTTTTTATTCTTGATTAATAATGTAGCAAATTAAATTTTTGAAATTTTTATTAATGAATATTGATTATTTGTTATAGCAAAAAAAAAAAAAAAAAAATTTGATCAATTAATTTTGTCATTGTTAAACCATTCAAAATAACAAACAATCATTGAAAGCACATTTTAATTTAAAATGCTAACAATCATATGCTAATAAATTTGCTTGTTTTTTTGTTTTTTCTCTTTTTTTTTTTTAGATTAGTAATACTCAAAAATGCAAATAAATGAGAATATTAATAAACAATAAAATATTTAAAAATGAAATAAATAAAAATTAATACTTTAAGATAATTTCAACTATACAATTTATTATGCATAAACTTTCAATAATTTAAAAAAAATTCAAATTAAGTTATTAGGTAAGAACTAAGAACTAACAGCTGTTATATAAATATTTTTTGAAAATGGAAAGTAAATTTTTCGATTTGCTTACGAAATTATTTTTAACATTAATTAATTATTGATGAAATTTAAAAAATTTTCATCAACTTTGCAATTTTTTTTTTACAATTTGATAATTTCTTTTAGCAATTGTAATAGAAAAAAAAAAAACGAATAAATTTGAAATTTATTTTAGGTATGGAAATTCATTTATATGACAGTAATTATTTGTAACTTTACTTTGATTAATCATAAAATTTTAAATTCTTGTTTGTTGCTTTTTTTTTTAAAAAAAAAAAAGAAAAACGTTTGGATAAATTGCTATTTAATAGCTAATTAAGTTAATTAGAATAAATTTGAAATCTATTTTAGATATGTAAATTTATTTATATGACAATAATTATTTGTAACTTTACTTTGGCTAATCATAAAATTTTAAATTCTTTTTTGTTGCTTTTTTTTTAAAAAAAAAAAGAAAAACGTTTGGATAAATTCCTATTTAATAGCTAACTAATTTAATTAAAATAATTAATAAAATATTTTAAGGATAAGTGCAATATATATATTTATATGAGTGATGAATAAATATTTCAATCAAATATCAGAAGGAAATAACTCAAAAGTTAATATAGTAACAAATCGAAATGATGTACAGAATAAGGAAGAAATGATTAAATTGTGCGCAAAAAATGGCGCAATGATGCGACGAGTGAAACGCGGAAAAATTGGACAAGCAAAATTGATATTTCTTGTTAATGAGAATAAACAACTTCGATATCATACACTTGGCTATTCGAGAATTATTTCATCAAAACAAAAAACAGGTATGTTAAAATTTCAGGTTAATAAATGAGTATAATGTGAGAATTAAAAATATTATGAATAGCTTAAGAAATTTCATATATGAAATTTTTATCAGTTTGAATTGAATTTTATTTCAAAATAATCTAATGAACAATGATTGTGTGATAATTTAATCAGATATTACTAAAATAATTAATAAATAATATTATAATACTATTGAATGTTTTTAGTAATTTTAATTTTAATAATATTTTAATTTTTATTTTTTTTTGGAAATTCTTTTTGATAAATACAAATATCTTTTTTTTTTTTTTGTAATCTAGCAATTAATTCTAATTACAGTAAAAATTGATCAATTAATTGAGATACGTCATGGATTTGGTACTGATCAGTTGCAAAAAGCAGCAAAGAAAATATCATTTCAACAAATTGCACCTGTAATTTTAATATTAATTTACCTTTCTCTTTCTTCTTTTTTTTTTCTCTCTCTCTCACTCTCTCTTTCTTCATTTCATTAAAATATTAAAGAATAAATTTTGTTAATGTCAAAAATTATTTAGTAAAGAAATTTCATTAGAAATTTTATTTACTTATTTATTTTTTTTTTTTTTTTTTGTTAATTTAATGCTTTTTTATAGGAAGAAAATTGTGTTTCGTTGATCGTTCGACAAAATGGAAAAAATAAGCAAAAGACAATCGATTTTATTGCTGCAACTTTAAGTGATAAAAGAATATTTGTGGATGCTTTACAGTATATTATTGATAAGGAAGATGCTAAATTGATTGATTTTAATGAGAAACAATGGATCATTGATAAGTTTCATGCATTGGATACAAATCAAACAGGTATGATCGTAAGGTAATATTGATTATTGAACAGGTATGATCGTAAGGTAATATTGATTATTGAACAGGTATGATCGTAAGGTAATATTGATTATTGAACAGGTATGATCGTAAGGTAATATTGATTATTGAACAGGTATGATCGTAAGGTAATATTGATTATTGAACAGGTATGATCGTAAGATAATATTGATTATTGAACAGGTATGATCGTAAGGTAATATTGATTATTGAACAGGTATGATCGTAAGGTAATATTGATTATTGAACAGGTATGATCGTAAGATGATATTGATTATTGAACAGGTATGATCGTAAGGTAATATTGATTATTGAACAGGTATGATCGTAAGGTAATATTGATTATTGAACAGGTATGATCGTAAGGTAATATTGATTATTGAACAGGTATGATCGTAAGGTAATATTGATTATTGAACAGGTATGATCGTAAGATGATATTGATTATTGAACAGGTATGATCGTAAGGTAATATTGATTATTGAACAGGTATGATCGTAAGGTAATATTGATTATTGAACAGGTATGATCGTAAGGTAATATTGATTATTGAACAGGTATGATCGTAAGGTAATATTGATTATTGAACAGGTATGATCGTAAGGTAATATTGATTATTGAACAGGTATGATCGTAAGATGATATTGATTATTGAACAGGTATGATCGTAAGGTAATATTGATTATTGAACAGGTATGATCGTAAGGTAATATTGATTATTGAACAGGTATGATCGTAAGGTAATATTGATTATTGAACAGGTATGATCGTAAGGTAATATTGATTATTGAACAGGTATGATCGTAAGGTAATATTGATTATTGAACAGGTATGATCGTAAGGTAATATTGATTATTGAACAGGTATGATCGTAAGGTAATATTGATTATTGAACAGGTATGATCGTAAGGTAATATTGATTATTGAACAGGTATGATCGTAAGGTAATATTGATTATTGAACAGGTATGATCGTAAGGTAATATTGATTATTGAACAGGTATGATCGTAAGTAATATTGATTATTGAACAGGTATGATCGTAAGGTAATATTGATTATTGAACAGGTATGATCGTAAGGTAATATTGATTATTGAACAGGTATGATCGTAAGGTAATATTGATTATTGAACAGGTATGATCGTAAGGTAATATTGATTATTGAACAGGTATGATCGTAAGGTAATATTGATTATTGAACAGGTATGATCGTAAGTAATATTGATTATTGAACAGGTATGATCGTAAGTATATTGATTATTGAACAGGTATGATCGTAAGGTAATATTGATTATTGAACAGGTATGATCGTAAGGTAATATTGATTATTGAACAGGTATGATCGTAAGGTAATATTGATTATTGAACAGGTATGATCGTAAGGTAATATTGATTATTGAACAGGTATGATCGTAAGATAATATTGGTTGATCTTCTTAATCAAATAGGTATGATCATGAGACAATATTGATTGATCGTTTTAATTGAACAGGTATGATCATAAGATAATATTGATTGATCGTTTTAATTGAACAGGTATGATCATAAGGCAATATTGATTAGTCTTTTTAATTGAACAGGTATGATTACATATTGATAAAACGATTAATCTCTTTCTTCAAATTTTCTTTTTCAAACAATTAAAATAAATAAATAATTATTTATTTAATAAAATGAAATTTAGAAATAAAAATGAAAAAAAAAAAATTGTATGTCTTGTATGATTTTATTCATAATATTATCATCTTTTGATAATATGATAAGATGACTTGATGATAATAATTGTCATTTTTAAATACAACACATTTTGATATGCTAAAAAATTTAGGTAAATTAAGCTTTAACAAAATTTGGAATCTTTTGAAAGAAATGAATTTGACAATTAGCTATGATTATGCAAAAGCTTTATTTCAGGTAAGTCAATTTTTTTTTTTTAAATTTTAGTTAATAATATTGTACATATTAATAATTAAATTATTTGGTATAAAATGAAAAAAAAAAAGAAAGAAAAGAAACAAAGTAGAATATTGTTTAATGAATTTATTAAAATCAAAAAAAAAAAAAATGAAATGATTGAAATAAAAATCAAATATTTTTTAAAACACTTTTTTTTACTGAGTGTTTTAAAAAAGCTATTTAAACACAAATATTTTCGTATTATTTCATTAAATATTATTTTTTTTTTTAATTTCTAAACTTTTTTTTTAAATTTATCGTAATGCTATGAAAATTTTATGAAAATATCTATAAAAATATTTCTAGAATGAAAGTATTGATGAATATAATTATGGTTCAAAATTGAATGCTTGCATCGATGTGGAAGGTTTTGTGAGATTTTTCTTCAAATTAACTTATAATTTTGAAGAAGGTAAAATTATGCGTCAATATAGCTCACAAAATGATGGAAATCTATCAGTGAATGATTTAAAGAATTTCTTGATCAATGTACAAAAGGTCATATGTCATATGTTTTTTATAATAATTTCCATTTTATTAAATGCATTTATAATTTTAAATTAGCTGTAAAACCATTATAATATATTAAATTTCAAATTTTAAAATTCATTAATCTCTATCAAAATTGCACATATTTTTTTTTTCGATTAATTTTATCTAATTAGCAATATTAATACTAAAAATGCTAACTAATGATAAGAAAGAAAGAAAAAAAAAAATAAAAACAGAAACAATATTTTACAAATAAAAATTTCAGTTTGAAAATATTGATAACAATATCGCAGCTTCGATCATAAATGAAATTACCATGAAGTTAGGCACTTATCAAATTGAGAAACGTACGAATTTATTAGGACCATTTGGTAAAAAAATTAAATTCGATTATTTATGATTTGTATGATAAATTTGAAATAAATTATAAGTAGAAATTATTTTTATTTTTATTATCGAAAATGATTCAATTTGCAATAATTCATCGCTTTAAGTATTTAAGTATTTGAGTCATTTTAATCTAAATATATTCTAATTTGTAGGTTTTCGTACTTTATTACGTTCACGTTTGGGTAACATTATGAAATATGGACATGAAAATATTTTTCAAAATATGGATCAACCATTATCACATTACTTTATTAATTCAAGTCATAATACTTACTTAATTGGTAATCAGGTAAAAGGTGAAGCAACTGTAGAAGGATATATTAATGCTATTCGAAAAGGAGCTCGATTACTTGAGTGTAAATTTTATTTAATATATTTCACAATAATTTAATTGGTTAACACATTTTATCACTTTCTTATCATAAGCTAAAAATGATAATGATTAATTGATCAATGATAAATGTAATTATTTGATTAGCTAATGAATAAAATTGAAAACATTATGAAAAAAAAAAAAAAAAATTATTCTTTGATAAGCTAAATTAACTTTAATAAAAAATAAATTTATACTCAAAGTAATTAATTTAGTAATTATAAGAAGTAAGTAATTAGTAATCAAATATTATTAATGCAAATATATTTTAACTATACAATCAAATTATGTAATGGTAAAGTAATTATTAACAAAGATATATGTTATAAAATGACGTATTTAGTAGACGTTTTTGACGGAAATGACGGAGAGCCGTGTATCAGACATCGTGGTACACTGATATCATCGATATATTTGAAGGATGCTCTAATGGCAATCCGTAATTATGCATTCAAATATACACCGTTTCCACTTATTTTAACAATTGAAAATCATTGTAGCTTAAAGCAACAACGTGTTATGGCTAAAAATTTTATTAAGGTTTTTTACATTTAAATTAAAATAATTATATTTGTTTTACAAATTTATTAAATTTAAGTTTAATTATTACCGATATTTAGCAACAATTTCATTTTAATTAATTAATTAATTAATTTTTTTTTTTAAGATTCTTGGTAACAGTATTTATTTGACACCTAAAAATAAACCTTTAATACAATTACCATCACCTAATCAACTCAAATACAAATATCTTTTACGTGGCAAAGTACGATCAATCACATATAAACGATATGCAAATGATAAATGTGATGAGGATGATGAAGTAGCCGGATCAGTATTACTTATAGATCCGGAATTATCAAGATTAATATCGCTTTTTCAAGTTAAACTATCGAATAATTTGCATGATGATATTGAAAAACGTACGTCTTCTAGATTTCTAATTAAATTTTTGGGATTTTATTACGATTTTAATTTAATTAATTGTGATGAAAATAGATGAAGAAATTTGAAGGTTAAATCATATAATAATACTTTTGAAATTTATAATTATTGATGTTAAATATTAATTCTAGGTTAGAAGAATTGAGTATTATTTTTGAAAAAGTTAATTGGTACCAGGGATCAATTTTTCATCATCAAAAGTAGTTCAAATATCAAAATGAAAAAAAAAAAAAAAGAGAAGAAAAGGATTTCTACATTATCAAATTTAATTTTCAATTAAAAATTAAACTACTATGCTTAAGTTAATAATCTCTCGTAATACCAACACTATTAGCATTGAGCGGTATTGTCACACCTACAACACGGGCGATGTTGTCGCTTTTTAATAACAAAAATTTAATGCTATTTTTCATTTAAATTATTTAAAAATTTTTCTCCACAAGACAGAACTAGCAGGAGTAGTAGAGAGAAGGTAAAAAGAATAAGTATTTATTGATCAACCTGTTTTCATCTCTATCATAATTTATAGATCCGGCAAATTGTTCAGTGTATCATAATTTATAGATCCGGCAAATTGTTCGGTGTATCATAATTTATAGATCCGGCAAATTGTTTAGTGTATCATAATTTACAGATCCGGCAAATTGTTTAGTGTATCATAATTTACAGATCCGGCAAATTGTTTAGTGTATCATAATTTACAGATCCGGCAAATTGTTCAGTGTCAATATCGGAAACAAAAATAGGAAAACTGATGGAAATTAGTGAATCATTTGCTGCTTACAGTGCAAAACATTTTGTTAAATCATATCCGAAAGGTTTACGACAAAATTCGAGCAATTTTTGTCCAATGCAATCATGGATTTATGGTATACAATCAGTTTCACTTAATATGCAAACAAATGGTAAAGATATGGATGTTAATTCAGGATTATTTCGAATAAATGGAAATTGTGGTTATATCCTGAAACCATCTAGTTTAATTAAAGGTTTAGGTGAGTTATATTAATTTAACAAAAAATAAATAAATAAATAAATAAAAAAAAAAAAAAAAATGGCAAAATTATTGCGATATTATTAATCAATTTGATTAAGTAATAAAAAATATTTTTTTGTTAATTTCCTATCAAAATATTGGCGCAAATTGACAGTATTATGAATTTAATTTTTTCTTAAAGCAGAAAATGCATTAATTAATTGATTGATTGATTAAAAATTTTGATCACTTAAGCAAAAAAAAAAAAAAAAAAGATTCCTATATTTTACATATTTTTACTTGATTACTTTCATATCATTCAATTTATATTTGATATTTAGTGATTTTCATTCTCAGTGCCAAATTTTAGATCTTTCGAGATTTGCCAATACAATCAAAGTGATTATGAATCTTTCGGTATATCTTTCCTTTTTTTCTTTTTTTTTTTCTCAACAAAAATAAACTTTTATGTATTTAATTGAATTATAGGAATCATTTATAGATTATGCATAATTATTGTTAAAATTTAGATTTTCGAAATGAATTCACATCCTGCAAAAGTTTAATATGTTACTAAAAAATTGAAGTCATTAAATTTAATTTGATTATGAATTTAATTAAATAACAAAAATTGAAAAATTACGAAAACACACAAAAAAAAAAAGTTAGTGATAATTTTAAGGTGATAAGTGGTGAATATTTACCAAAGCCATTTTCAAAAGAAGGTGAAATTATTGATCCATATGTTATAGTGGAAATTCTTGGTGTACCAGCTGATTGTAATAAATTTCAAACAAAAATTATTAATAATAATGGGTAAAAATTAATTGATTAAAAACAAATTTTTTGTTTTTTTTTTTTTTTTTTATATTTTTTAAATTTTTTCTTATACAAATGGTTAATGATTATTGTTTTAAGCAAATTGATTAAAAAAAAAAATAAAAAAAATAAAATATTTAATTTTAATAGAATTAATTTCATTCACAGTAATTATTGTATTGTTTAATTAAAGATTTCAACCAGTTTGGAAAGAATATTTCAAAATTGAATTACATTGTCCAGAAATAGCAATGCTTCGATTATGTGTCAAAGATTATGATAAAGTTTCCATGGATGATTTTATTGGAGAATTTAGCATTCCAATAAATAGCATTCGACAAGGTTTATTATTTTTGTCAATATAATTCATAAAAATATTTAAGCATTTTTTTTTTTTTTTTAATTAGAAAGAAAAAGAAACTTTTTAATTTGTTTTATTCACTTTTTTTTTTTTGAAATTCGAAACATAAATTCTTTTGTTGAACTAATTTTAAAAATTATAAATAATCATAATTCTCTAATCAATTCATGTGTTCTTGTTTTTTTGGTAGTTTCACAAAAATTATTTAATTAGCTTGATTAATCGTTGTCACTTATCATTACTTTCATTTACCTTATCATATATTTCTTTTAATTTCAGGTTATCATTACTTATCATTTACCTTATCATATATTTCTTTTAATTTCAGGTTATTCACTTGTCAATCTTTTTACTGGCTGCGATCGAATTTCTAATTCACTTGCTGCTATATTTATACATGTTGATTTTATTGATACAAATGTTGAACGAACACATTTATGAAAGAAAACTTTATTATGAATTTCAATACTATCAGTAGTTAAAATAAAATTAATAGAAAATTTTGAATTGAATTGCATTAGAAATTGAAATAGTACTGAAATTAAGTAAATTGATTTATAAAATTTCTGATACAATCATTTTCAATGGGCGCAATATCATCATAATGCGCCATTTTATTCAATATATTTTTTTATTTATAATATTTTCATTTAATTAGTAATGAAAATAATTTCATTTTCACTATTTGGCACATTTCAAACAATTTTTATAAAATGTTATTTAATGGAAATTATATTAATGGAAAATGATTAACGAATAAATTTTATTTATTTTCCCTCTCAAATAAAGCTTTATTTTACAACTGGAATTGATTAAACTGGAATATATTTTATTGACAATTTTGTTTGATAATAGATTTTAATTTTTAATGGATAGGTCTGTTCAAATTATAACTTATTTTCTTAACATTAAAAATTTGAGAGAAATTTAAATTGAGCTTAATAATTGTTTCTTAAAGTTATGTATTATTTTAGTTTTAAATTTTTTTCAATCATTTTTTGTATTCGATTCAAAAATAATACATTTACAATCTTTGATCTCATTTTTAGTAGTATGAATCAAATATATGCATATATGAAATGATAAGATGAGATGAAAATGCAAGAATTGTGAATAATAAAAAGCAAAATATGCTTTTACATGTGAATATGATAGCGTGCTGGCGCTATTGGACGAGAAATTTAGCGCCCATTTGTTCATTTGCTACATTCTTTGCTTTTGCTAGAAGCAAAATCTATTGAAAAATATTTTTTGAAGTGTAATAGAGGAAAGAAAAAGCCTTTCTAACACAAAATTTATTGTTGAAATTTTTGCCTACGAATTTTTTTTTTTTTTTTTTTTTTTTTTTTTTTTCTGTTCGTATAATTCATTTCTTAGAATTATTTTTAAATTATAAAATTGAAATATTGAAATGATTGAATGTGGTGGATTTTATTGAAAATATTGAAGAAATAATATAATGCAAAAAGTTTTAGTGAAATAGATGAGAAGGAGAGAATTTTTCAAAAAATTTCTAAATTTTTTATAAAAAAAGAATTAAATAAAACTGTTTGTAATGATAGATAGATATATGCAAAGAAAAAGAAAGAGAGAGAGAGAGAGAGAAAAAAAAATGTTAGAAAAATATTATTGAGAAAGCGAAAGGGGAGGGAAAAAAAAAGTTAAATCTAAGCTTTAAAGTTTATACTTTTGATTTTGCTTGCAGTGAAGCAGCATTCTATTCCAATAACTAAAAGAATTTATCATAAAATTTAAACAAAAAAAAAAGAAAATTGTACAATTGCACTGTCTGTTATCTATGACTCTTTCATTTTACTTTTATTTTTCTCATTCTAATCCTTCGTTTATTTTAGTGAAATTAGTAAGTAGTAGTTTAGTTGAATGTTTGAAATGTTAAAAATAAGCATAGAATCGAACCACCTGACATTTCTGTTATCTGCTTAACTACAAATGTTGTTATACTAAAGAGAGAGAGAGAGAGAGAGGGAGAGGGGGAGAGAGAGAGGGAGAGAGAATTAAATGATAGAAAGATAGATCGATCGATTGATTGATTGATAGATAGATAGATAGATAGAATGAGGCGGAGATGTGCTATCATAGTAAAATAATATCTCAAACTTTTGAAACGAACAATTTGTGCTTAGTTATACATAGACAAGTAGTAGTAATACATAAGAATAAATAAAAAAATCTATCGTTTAACTATGTTCTAAGCTAACTTAGCTCTATCACAACTAGAATGCTTCTATTTCTTTATCTAATTCTTCTCAAAAGTATTTAGCATTTTAGCTAACTCTAAATTACCCTAAAACTCATTAATTCATTTCATTTCATTTCATTTCATATCGCATATTTATCGTTCATCAACAATTCTCTTCAATTGTATACATCAAAATAAGAAATGCCTTCACAAGCTGGTAAATTTTTATTTTTGTTAATTTAAATTTTTCATTGTTAATTAAAATTTTTCACTTTTTCAGTTTTCTTTTTTTTTTTTCTAATTTAAATTTTATTGGATTATTTTGATTATTAATTTTTAATAAAATAATGATAATTTTCTATTATAGTTAATTTGAGAGAGAGAGAGAGAGAGAGAGAGAGAGAGGAAAAAAAAAGCCAAAAGAGTAAAATAATAAAGTAACATTTGACTAATCAGTTCAAATGATAATAAATGCCGTTTTATAGAATATTTCTAACTAGGATATTTGATACAAATAAAGAGAAATAGTATGATGGAAAAATTTAGAATTATTGAAATCATTAAAACAAATATTACTGTCGTCGATAAGTTCTACCATAAGTAAGTAATGCAATTTATTGTGTGTTACAAATACATAAAATTATATGACTGATCAGTGAAGTGAATTACAATAATATAAGCGAAAATTTTATTATCTACAGTAATCCTATATAATGATAAGTTACTTATGAAGTTTGTGATAATTATTTGAAAAGTAATAAACTCATTTGTATAAAATGTTAGCAAATTGATAACGCTAACTATTTGATAACAATAAAACTTTTGATAACAAAAATTGGTAATGCTAATTACTTGATAACAATAAAACTTTTGATAACAAAAATTGGTAATGCTAATTACTTGATAACAATAAAACTATAATAATGCTAATTACTTGATAACAATAAAACTTTTGATAACAAAAATTGGTAATGCTAATTACTTGATAACAATAAAACTATAAATAACTCGATAAGTTCGTAAGATACAGTATCAAACTGTAACGTACAGTATACTGCATTAATAAGCATGATACAGTATACTTTGAGAAGATATTCGTTGATAATTTTGTTTAAACTAAAACTGTCATAATTTTGCTCATTTATTTTATGAATTAATAGTAATAGGTAATCGATATTTACAACTGTAATCTTTACTTAATCATAAAATTTGTTACTGTAAAAAAAAAAAAAAATGAGAAAAGAAATAATCAAATTTTTGCTTTGATACTTTGCAAAATCATATATATATGATATCAAAAAATGATTTTTCATTGTCAATGTAGCATTAATCTGTAAATTAGTGATTTTTATTAAATAACATAATAAAATTAAATTTTATACCATTTCCGTTTGACTTTATAAGCTTCGTAAAACTAAAGAATATTTATGATAAAAAAGAAAAAATTTAATCGATTCATAATTTTACAAAAAACAATTTTCCTTTCTTCTAAATTAGAATTTCACAAGTAGATTTTATAAAAAATTAAATTTTATTTTAGTGATTGAATAAAAAAAAAAGGAAAAAATTCCAATTTTTAGGTCATAAATTTCATTTAATATTTAATCCATGCAACATTATCATTATTAGCAATTCTTCTATTTTCTATCATTTTCATAAATTCATTAACCCGATTTTTTTTTTTTTCGCTTCATTTCTATTAATTTATGCTAATGTAGTTTGAAATAATGAAAGATAGTTTGTAAAAATTTAATCATGTATTAAAATTTTAAACAAAATTTTTTACTTTTGCTAATTTATTATTTCTAGAATTATTCTGAAACTGAATGACAAATCCTAAAAGAAACTTAAAACGAATGTTTACTTTTATTGTTTTACTTTAAATACAACTGCTGCTGTTTATTTAACCTGATGAGAGATACTGGTATGCACTTATATCCGGAAATCTAAAAAATATCAAAGTTTTCAGACTTTCTTAAGCTATTAATTGATGGATTTTTTTTTTTATTCAAAAATTTTATCCTTTCTATTTATTTCAATTTCTTATTTGAAGTAAAATATAAAATATGATTATAAAAATATAAACAATTTAATTTTTGATAAAAGTAAACAGCTAGTCGTCCAGTAGCTATAAAATTCGAAATACTGATGTGATATAAATTGCAACAATAATTCTATAAAGAATTCAAGAATTCATATTAAGCATATTTTTAAAATGTTATATTATTTTATCACATTTTCACTTGCATTAGCTATTTTTTCTATGATTATTTTATAGGTTATTACTTTTTTTTTAACTAATACTGTAATCTAAGAAATTACTAATGTATTCTGGACAATGGTCATTTCTCAATTCATAAATTATTCCGAATATTTTTGAAATATTAAATTGTATGCTTGAATAAGAAATTGATTACTCAATTAGATTCAAGTCCTATTCATATTTATTAGTAAAAACTATTCCAGTAACCTATTATAATCATTGGGATAATTTGCTATTCCAATAAGTATAAGAAATATTAAAAATCGAAATTAATCAATCATCGAAATTAATAATCATCTATTTAAATTAAAAAATTACAGATGAATTTCAGTATCAGATAGATAAAATTGATATTTTTGCATTTCTTTCTATTATTTAATACAACAATTTTATATCCTCTTTACTAGGTTTATTATTATAATATGTTTCGGTAAATAATACATTTCCGATATTTAAAAAAAAAAAAAAAAAAAACGGAAAAAAAAAATAACGAATGATTTTTATTTCTGATTTGGAAAAAACGATTGATTTTTTTATTTCCGTTTTTATTTCAATTTTATTTTTTCTTTATTATTACATATAATTTAGCATATTTTATACATTTAATCTCTATTGAATTGTAATTATTTTAAATTTTCAATTTATGTTAGAACTTTTTTTTTTTTTTTTTGAGAACTTTTCAATTTTTTAATGAATATTTTACTAATTTATTTTCAAATAATATATTTTCCTCATCAAATATCACAAATATTTGTTTGCATGATTTAAAGCAACAAAAGCATTCTTAGATTTCCGATATTTATCAAAAAAAAAAAAAGAGTCAATATTTCAAATAATAATAATAAGTTCAAGAGAGGGAAAAGGAGAGAGAGAGAGAGAGAGAGAGAGAGAGAAAAAAAAACACCAACAAATTATTGTGTTTTATTTTAAATAATTAATGAATTAATTTATAATTAATGATAAAGTTTAATTAAAGTTTTAATTGAATATCTGAAAGGAAACAATTATGCTGGAAAATAATTATCAAATATTAAAATTATCGGTTTTTTTTTTTTAATTTTTCATTTCAAATTCAATTCATTAAAAAAAAAAAAAAAAAAGTGTTAGCAATAAAATTAGTAGTAATTATAGAATTAAAAGAGATATTTCTCTTATATGACGAAGAATTGGATGGTAAAATTGATGGTACACAAATTGGTGATGTTGTCCGAGCTGCTGGTCTTAAGCCAACAAATGCTATGGTTGTCAAAGCAAGTGGAACTGAGTATAAACGAAAAGGTGAAAAACGTTTGACATTCGAAGAATGGATGCCAATTTATGAACAATTAAGCAAAGAAAAGGTTTTCATTTTTTTATTTGTTTTTTTTTTAAAAAAAAAAAAAATTGTTGTTTACTTAAACTTTTCCAATCTTTTTAAATTTGCATTTGTGCACATTTATTGAAGTATTATAACATTCATTATTCATAGATACTAGTAATTTAGAAATTAAATTGTTGCAATAGCATTTAGTTTTAAAAATTTCAATTTTTTAATTTATAAATTAGAAATTATTTTATTTCAGATATGTTAAATTGTTAGTTAGTGATCATTGTAAAAAAAAAAAATTACTCACAATTCCATTTGATAGTTTAATTATTTTTTTAAAAATTTTTTTTTTTTTTTTTTTTTTTAGGAACAAGGGACGTTCCAGGATTTTGTTGAAGGATTGAAAGTTTTTGATAAAGAAGAATCAGGAAAGGTATTGTGCTTTTTTTTTTTTTTTAATTTTATTTTCTAAATTTTTGATCTTTTTTTTTTGATTAAAATTTGTTAAAGTGTTATAAAAAAAAAATTTCTTAAGATTTCTATTAACAAATGACACTTAAATTAATAAACAAATTAATGAAGAAAAAATAATTTAACTTATAATTAATGATAAATTTTATATGTAAAATTAAGAATACATATAAATTAACAGAAAATTTATAGATGAAAAAATAATAATTAAAAAAAAAAAATCATTAATCCAAGGAATGGTTGCTTATGAAGGTATTAATTAATTAATTAATTAATCAACTTAATTAGCTTTAAATTTAAGTAATTGATTATCATTTTACAGATTATGGCAGCAGAATTAAGGCATGTACTGATGGCTTTAGGTGAGCGTTTGTCAGCTGAAGAAGCAGATGAAATAATGAAAGGTACGGAAGATGCAGAAGGAATGGTTGCTTATGAAGGTATTAATTAATTAATTAATTGATCAACTTAATTAGCTTTAAATTTAAGTAATTGATTATCATTCATTTAATTAATTGACATTGAAATAAATAATGATGATGAATAATCATTTTAGCATTCGTCAAGAAGGTTCTAGCTGGACCATTTCCGGATGACTAAAGATACTAGCTGGACCATTTCCGGATGACTGAATGAATGATCAATGCAATGCAATTACAGCAAACAGAAGAAATATTAATTCTTCAATTTTTCTTTTAAAAATTTCTTTTTGAATTGAATGAAATTACAAAAAAAAAAAAAAAAAAAAAAAATGTTACTGTAATAGCGGAATGGAATTAAAAGTATGTTTAGAAATTGAAAAGTTTAAAAAAATTTAAATACTTAAGGAAAAAAAAAAAGAAGAAATTTATTGATAAATTCTTTTTGCATGAAGAAATTTAATTGATATATTTAGATTATCATTTTTAACTCTATCATTATCATATGTCTCATAGTATTACTAATTCTATAAGTTATGCTCAATTTAGCTAAATATTTTTATCTTCTTGTAGCATAAAGAATATTTAAGAAATAAAACTTTTATGCATTTAATATATTACAGCATTGTCTATTGCTTTGTGATCAAATGTAGTAAATTGTTTCGGTGATTTTTTTTTTTTTTTTTTTTTTTTTTTATTTCTTCTTTTTTGTTCGATAAAATTTGGCTAAATATTTTTGAAAGTTGAAATATTAATATAAGTTAATAGTATTTGAACATATTTGTTCATAATATTCTCATATGCTTATGTTTTTTTTTTTTTTTTTTTTTTTTTTTTCCCCGCCGCAATATAACAACAATATGCTACATTATTATTCAGAACACACAAATAAATGGAATACTTATTCCATTTTATATTTTTTTATTGGTAGAATTTTGACTAGCTGAATTTGAAAGTGAAATAATATAATTAATAATTAAAACAGTGCAAATGATTTAACGATTTTTAAGGCTATCCAATTAGAATCGCATATTGAATAATAGCACATTAGCATTTTAGTGATGTGATAAGAGAGAAAAAATGAAAAAGCACAACTAAATCTTTTATAATTCGATTGCTTGTTTCTTTCAGATAGACCAAGACTATTAGCAAAGTTATCTTCAAACGTACGAAACACAAATTCAAGCTTAAAGTTGTTCAGCTATAAAGTGATTTAATGATTTACTAAAGATTAATTGTGAAGTGGACATTACCTATTCATTAAATAAAAAGCAGAATATGAAGAGTAGATAATGGCAGCAACCTATAAAAGCAATGGTATTCCGAGTTGAACATAAGAAATCAGGGAGCAAATTGATTTGATCAATATTCACTTAAAACGAGGTCCGCACAAACAATGCAAATTTCTTTTTTGGTAAAATAACCTTATCATATATTTCCGTTTTGCTTCTCAATAAAATACATAACTTTGCTCCAAAACTAGCATAACTAATTTTAAATGTATAATCTAATAACAAGATTCAAAAGTTCCCAACAAACACTAACATTGATAAATTTTATTTTCTTCTTAAAGTTCCTCGTTAGAGAAAAAATGGAAATAGGATTTTTAAAAAATGTTCTTTGAAAAAAACTTGTTGTTGTAAAATTCGATGAGTCCAGCAATTCTAAGGCGATTAATTTCATGCATTTAATGATTCCATCACTTTTATTCATAAGCGGCTTACAAAGATATTTTATTCCAATTATAATAAAGATTCAGCTTATACTAGCATACAATCAAAAAGTTAATCACCTAAAGAATATCTACCAACAAACAGGAACAAAACACTCATTAAGATTGTGCGCTAATCCGTAAAGCTGTCGCAATGATTTGCTCCTTGCTCTGCACTTTCAGCGCTTCAGCTTCAGCTTTATTTTTTGCGCTTCGCGATCGAATAAACAAGAATAACAACAGATACGTGTACAACCTTGCACGACCACGGTTTAAATAACCTGAAATCAGATGTGAAAATTTTCTCGACCAGAATGAAAAATGTATGATGACGTACGCTTATACAAAATGCATTCCCCGAAATTTTACTGGACAGCAAATAAAATATGGCTGCAGCTTCATAAAACTGGAAGAAATGCTTTGTTGGAAAAGACAGAAGAAAAACCTTAGGCAGAATAAACGATAGGAAGTTTCATCAATAACAACGTTAAAACTGACTAAGCTGCGACAAAATAAATCGAACGCATAGTAAAATAAATTAATATATAGCCATAACTTCTCTACTAATTTTCTTTCAATCTCTCTTCTCTACCACTCCTCCAAAATTTGGAAGTTTGATTAAAAGCAATTATCAATCAAAATATAATGAAATAAGGGTAAAAGTTAGTGTTAGCGACTTCTTCTAACATATATGGTTGCTTCTGTAACATATAATCGTTTCACTTATACATATACTCGGTTTTTATGAATAAAACTAAAGTATAAAACTCACCCACAACCTTAAAAATGTCCTAAACTTTGGCTTAAAAAAATCCACGGTGCTACGGTCGCATCATCTGGATAACCTCATTCCTTTTGAAAGTTATTGAGAAACGCTCCTTCCTAATAGTATTTTAAATATGATCACAACACCAGTAAATCATCTGTAACAGTTACAATACTCATTCAACAAATACGGAACTTACACGATTGTTCTTTAAGCCAAAATCTTCCTTCCCACCACTTGTACATCGGTCGTAAGATTACATTAGTCTTCATTGTATGTACCACTTGACCATACAAATGAGCTGCCTGCCCAGCAACTTGCTTTATCAATGTAAATCCTTGCTTCACAACTGCTCCCTGAGCCATCTTCACTGAAATTTCAATTAAATGACCCGACTGAAATTGAAATTTTTAGCTTAATCTAACTGTCCTCCTTTATTTTACAAGCATTAAAAGACAAATATTCTCACAAAATTAATTTCAAGTAAGCATTAGATTTTTGAGTTAATTTAAATGGTTAAAACATAATTAATACAATAAATATATACAAGTGAGCAGTTTTTTAATGACAAAATTGAAAGGACCACTTAGAAGAGAGACGTTATGTGTCTACCAGGGCTATCCGGAAGAGACGTTATGTTTCTGCCACGGCCATTCGGGAGATGTTATGTCTCTATCAGGGCCATCCGGAAGAAGCATAATGTGGCAAGCTCATCTCATCCGGAAGAGACGTAATGTGGAACATAGGTAAAAACAATCAGATCACGTGGTACCTGTCACCAATGCTGGGATTAACTTATCACCCACAAATCAAAGCAAAGAAAACACACAACTAACAATCAACCCAATACAAGAAATAGAGTTGCAATAGTGACGAAACTCTTGCAGTTGGTTCTTCTTCATCACTTCAAATTTCAAATTTCCCTTTCATTGTTTACGCTTTCGTTACGTGAGGAGGGGAGCGTACGTGGCCTGCGTAATTTTGTTGTATTGTTGTAATTGACTTAGAGCTCATTTAGCTTTTATCTTTATGAGTTCTCGTGAATTGGACGATAAATTATTGAGCTAACTTATAAAGGTTATTTTAACTGTTGCCAAATTAATCTTCTTAATTCACAGTAGAAATGTGCCTTACAAAAATCGTAGAAAGTAACAAATAATCCTAATGAAACGCAAAATTCATCAATGTTTTATTTTTAACGTTGCAACAATGTTTTTATGATTGGATTGATTGAATGAATCAACAGTGCAGTACTGTAGATAGTGATAGTCCTATTAGGAAGAAATGAATTCTTATTGGTTAAGAAAAAAAATTAGTACTAGTTAAAAGCGTTCAAATTAGCCTTTAACAACGCTAGTTTTTTTTTTTTTCTGATTATTATTATGCTTTCAGTTCTTACTCTCTGTACACATATGTCAACTTAGCAATATGATTAATATTTTAAATGTTTTATCTTGCTAATATTTCTTTATTATTAATAAACTATTTCTACTTAATATAACTCAGTGCAAATCTGCACAAATAGGAAAGTTAGTTTTCAAGAGAAGTGTTCTCACTTACTGTTCAAACTTACTTCCAACAAAAATTTCAGGATGATTCGAGAAGGTAAACCTCAGTTAGATTCTATGAAAAAAGAATTATTATTGCACATGAAAAATCATATCGTTGCAACGATGAGCACGAGAAGAGAGGTATATTTCTTCAAATTACAAAAAAAAAAAAAAAATTTATTGTACATTTTAAAATTTTATTTTTTTTTAATGTTCGAAATTGTTCGGCGTTTATATCAATTTCTAAGTAATTTTTTTATTGTAATTCAATTTCCAAATAAATTTAAGCATTAGTTCAGATTGAGTTATAGCCATGGCCTGCAAAATGAATTCGCTAATTAAAAAATTGTCTCACAGAGTTTCATGATAATTGTTGTACTGAGTATCCACCAGATTCTTTGGATGTAAAAGCATGGTTTCTTCAAGTTCTATCATGTATCTGTCATGTGTTGTATCATGTAAGTTACTGAAAGTTACATGAAGCCAATAATGTATTAACTGACAATTTAATTTTAAGGTCTACGATGCACTGAAAGAGTCATTTGACACCAGTTCTACAGATTTTTACAATCTTTCCTCAACTGTGAAGCACGTAAGGATAATTCAGTTGTTAATAACGTGTTTGGAAAAATATAAACCTCATCAGCATTTACAAGTATGTTACAAACAGTAAAATTTTTATGAAAGATACTAGAGAATATTATTGTATTATTTTTAATTAACTTTTTATCCATCAGGATGATGTGGAATGATAAAGCAGTCGTGAAATAAAGCGATTATTATCCATACTTATGTTCTTAGGTGCTTAACTGTAATTAATTTATTTTGATTTAAGAAGATAGAGATCCTTGCTTTCTTGATAACTATTGAATTGCTTCAACTATAATTTTTTGAGTTTCAAGGATGCTTTCTCTGTATGGAATTGCCGTTTAGCTCCTGCAGTGTTCGCACTTTCTGATCCAGTGGAACGACAGAAATTCAGCAAACATGCAAAACTGCTTGCTGCTTGTTTACTTGATTCTGATGAGGTTTGTTCTTTTTCATTTTTGGATCCGAAGGAATTTTTTTTTGCTGAAAGAATTAAGTTGACATATTTGATTTGGGTAACTTTGTTGTAGTGTTATGCATATCAAATATATAAACTATGATCATCTAAACAGTAGTTTGGTCATTGCAATTTTATTCTGATTTCAAGCTTTTTTCTTTCATTTTATTTTTTTTTTGTGAAATTGGAAAACGTAAAACGTTCAAAAAAAAAAAAGAAAAATATCCTTGATTGTATTATAAATGTTAACAGGATTATTTCCAGTATACAAAAGCCATTATCTGCTTGGGACATGTCGTGCGATTACATGATGGCGACGTGCATTCACGATTATTGCTTACATACTGGCTCTGCTTTCTAGGATACTGGTCATTAGCCAAAACTCAGGTGCTTGACGAAGATGAAGTGAAACGAATGTACTCTATTCACAAAGAAATCATTAATGAAGTTATTAACGATATTATTTATCTACATACGGGAAAAGCAGCGGTATGATTATGTTCTGCTATTTTACTTGATGTTAAATCAACTATATTAAATGTTTCATGGAATAGATTTGAACTTATTGTGATGCTCTAAAGTCTCTTGTTTATTTATTTAGAGAGTAATTACAATTAGGCTCAGTTAAAACGAGATTCTAAATAACATTAATTAATTGATGTGATTTCATCTAGGGACATCATTCCGGCGATTCATTACCAGCACATAATCGTATTCTTAAAACTATGCAGAGTTTCGAGTCCATCCTCACAAAATCGAAAGCAAAAACCTTCCAACAGTACGAAGCACAAATTCTTGTTAAACGGGTATTGATAGCTGCTAACCATTTCTCATCTGCTGATTTAACATTGGTAAGTGCAGTTCTTTGAGTTCTGTCAAATGACGTTCGAGTATGAGTTGATAAATGATGAAATAATTAACTCTTGGTTATGAATACGTTTAACAATAGTCTTAGATTTCAATCAAAAACAATTGAAAACAATCTTCAATGATGTAAATTTAAATGAAACATGAGACTCTCCAATAAAGTAACCACGGTTTCTGATGGCTGCACATTATATATGATTAAACATGGCGTTTATAAAAAAATTTTAAATTCTAGTTATTGAACTGTTTCTTTCTTCTTTTCTTTTCTCTTCAATTATTTTGATTATTTTTGATTGGCATCTCCGTTTTCCATTGATAGTGTTTCATGTATTTCAAAAGAAATCAGTAATTAGCTGTATAAGCTCTGCTATAGATTGGTGATCCACTACAAAATATGGATTTTATAAAAGCACGTTACGAAACGTTAGTGAAATCTCGAAGTAGCGTATATTATGGTAGCGATATGAAAGAAGAGGATGGCGGTTGTGCTACATTTGCTGGTGGTGAATTTCAAGAAACAAAAATTGATGAGTACCGTAAGTTCAAAAAACTTCGACCTCATTTCTTTTGGCACTTCAGTCAGCTATCATCTAAAATAGGAAACTTGAAAGTCGTTATTTCCTTGGTAAAAATAGAAATGATAGTTTATGGTCAATGATTATTATTATTATATCGAGGTTTAAAAGTAACCTCTAGTTCAAAGATAGTTTAGTTCAATGCATTGGTAAGATGGTGTAATGTTTTAGAAATATTTCATTTTTCAGTGAAGTTAAGTGCAGCTGTGGCGGAGCATTTCAAAATAGTATTGCAGCTATGTTTTAAATATATTGAACTGGGAATCCTTCGAGAGAGTGAAAGTGAAGGATTGAAATTGTTACATCAGGTTCTAAAAACATCAAATTTGCAAAGGTTTGTGTTTATTGTAATCGTTGTTATCTAATTAATATATGAAAATCAAGTTTTTTTTTTTTTTTTTGTACCAAAATTACTTAATCTTTAATTGTATCTTCTCAAATGTTTTGAATTCTACTTGTAATTGGTGGTTATGCCTTATATAGCTATTGCAACATTTCTTAGTTTTCAATTTTTGGTTAGGTGTCTGGCAGTGTTGAACGTCTTATTTCTAACATCGACACTTGCTCGCGGTGATATTACAAACGTTCGTCCAGATCCATTTCGACCAATGATTGCTTCTTTGTGGAATGTTAGTTATATTTTTAGGTTAAATTTTTAATATAAATTTTCTATTTATTTCCTGTCTTTTACAAATCTGCTGAATATCGTTCTTATCAATAGCATTATCCCAGTTTTATAAATAACGCTTCTTAAGAGGTCGAAAAATGGAATTTATGTTCGTACAGACAATGAAAGACTGAACAAAAAGCTGAATTTATCTTCTGGAAGTCAAGAAATAATAGATCTCAGTGAAGATGAACCAAGCGGGTAAGTTATATTCTCTACATTCGACTTTAAATATAAAATCAGGGAATAATTTTTAGCATTACTTGTTGGTAATAGTAAATAGGTTCATGGATCTTCTTAATTTGAATATCTGATTCTGCAATGATTCAGTTCACAAATATTTCTACCTTGTATAAACAGCTAAATTTAGTTATAGTGGGCACTTCCATTCGTTCACTAATTTTTGAGTGCCATCTTTTTTGTTGTATGTCTTGTCCTCAATATAAATGCAAGGAACGAGCATTGTTTCCAGAAACGTTCATAGTATAGCTAATGTTTAAAATAGGACTAATATTGCGAGCTATATCGCTCTCCATTAGTAACTGTTTCCAAATATGACTGAGGGATCTCCATCTAGTTTTGCCAGTCTAAAATTTAGCTGGATCACCAAATTAATAGTTCTCTTAAATTTCCTCATATGGTTAATATCAAGCGAAGGTTG